ATGTTACATGTTAAAAATAAAATGCAGGATGTAGTTTTAAGATAAGTAACGTCTCAAGACAGAATCGACCTTGAGATGGACAAAGTTGGAACAACTTCAAGTATAGGATCTGAAATTATGGTTTTAACTATGAAATGCAAAGCTAATTATTGGAACATAATGCTTACTTACATAACAAAACGCTTAGTAAGCACAAGCAGCCTGTGAGGTTAACCAGAGGGCAATGAGGATGAGTGTGGATGGTCTTCGTCCAAAGACCACCAAAAGAAGACTGAAGACCCCCTGGCAACAAGTGAAGCATGTGCTGTGAAGTACAGTGATGTAGAATTTAAGAACTGAAAGTGGGAGAAAACTTATGGGAAACATTAATGAATATCTATAAGCACATAGTATATAAGTTTAGTCTGAATTGCTTTGTTTTGTATGTGAGGCAGGGTGGGAAGCCCTCTCCGTACCCTGGTCAGTTTTGCATATGTTTTAATCATACTTAATTACTGGCAAATTAAATTGTATTTTTTTTACTAAATTATATTAATTTATACCAAATTGCTATTCAATTCCCTAAACTGCATTAATTTTTAATTAAATTGCTCTTAATTCAATAGACCTAGTTGTCTAATTTCATTCATAACAGCTGGGAATGTCAGCTTCTGAGACCAGCTGATTGGAATGTCTTTGGTTTGGTGTGTCCTGGAGTCCACGCACTCGCAAATTCCTAACTTGGGACAAAATATACCAGGTGTAACTGAGAGAAATCCACTGTGTCCCATCTAATGTTTTGTAGCCCCTTTTGCCTTCTGGCTGTTTCACAGGACCACTCTACATGCCTGTCCTCTAACCGGAAGGAAAACTCTCCACTTATGAGAGTTTTGGAGCACTTTTTGGCCTTGCACAGACAGGGCAAGAGTGAAGGCCATCACTTCCCAACTGAATGAGGTGTATTTGCTGCCAGGCAGGCAATGAGGGCTGTCCCTAGAGCACTTCTGGGCCCCTCCCTGATCTTCCCTAAACTCTGCAAAGACAAACAGGGACACTGGAGAACTCACGTGAATACCGTCAGTGCCACCTACTGCTCTGTATCACAATTACAGTGTGTGTGCATCAGTGACTGCTACAAACTCCTGCCCTTTGGCAAACCTGGAAACCACAGTTCTGTTCAGAGCAAGCCAGTCCTAGACAATTATCTCTTAAACTTCCACGCATGGAGAGTGTTTGTTCTCCTATGGACACCTTTCCACTTGCAGCCAGGGAGACTGAGGCTGATATTCCAAGAAAAAAAAGTTGTCTGGAGTGGTTCTGGTGGAAGGACTCTGGTATGAAGACACCATCCATAACTCACTTCTTGAGGTGATATACTGAGTTACTTTTTGCAGAAAACTTTGCTCTACCCAAATAGGAGTTGGATCAAAGTGTGCAGACAAGACAACATCCTAGAGGTAACAGTTTCAAAATGAGATTTAGGTGAGGCAGAATGCACAGCGTCATCCCTGTATTACTCTCTCCAGAGAACTCTAGGAAATTTGGGAAAAACAATACACACTTCGTATATTTCTCTTCAAGAACCTTGCAAACTCAGCCTTCTTACTGTCCAGTATTCTTGCAAACAAAATTATTTCAATTCTGTGGGCTGCAAAAGAATTTGGTGGGGTAACAACTGGTGTCTGGCAGAATTGCAACACAATGAATAATGTATTACCAAAGGGCATCTGTATAGTTTGTGATAAGAACAATATGAAAATCTAGGCTGGACTCAAAACCCGTCTCACTGGTTTCCAGAATTCTGGGAAATATTTTAATCAATGTTATATTTTAAAAACTAATCTTTTTGGTATGTTGCCATCTCCTCACTTCAGCAGCTGGCCTCTGGTGAAAAAGGAGCAAACTTCACAATCATAATCACAACTTTTCCCTGCCTCTGTGACAAAAATGACACATTTCTAGTGGCAGCAGGGTGTTCCTTTCAGCGCTTTCACCTCACTCCAGTTCACATGGAGGACAGCTAAAGGTTGCCCTTCTTAATGTCAGATACAGCTTTTCTTCTGAAGAGCTTCTATTTTGTCTTACTACATGTGCACAGCAACACATGACCTCCTTTATGGCCCTAAACCCAGATAACTCCAGCTGCACCCCGACTATCCCACAGTTAAACCTTGCAGGCCATAAATATAATGAATGGGGCCCTTTGCTCTCTAGCAATTAAAAGCATTTGCTGGGATGAAAGTTTCTGGACTACCTGTTGGAGCTCGCCTTTTCTGGGCACTACAAATACTTTTCCCTCACTAATAACAGGAAAGCAAAATTTGGGATGGGATTGTGTGAAAAAAAACCCTCCTTCTTTAAGATGTGCAGATTGGATAAAATGAAATGTACTCAGAATATGAAGTGCTGATGTTCACTTTGCTACTGAACACTTTTTATCAGTTAAAAACTCCATTATCTCCAAACTGCTAAACGTGAGTTACTCCCAGATTCACTCAAGGATGGCATTGCCAGTACTTCTGAAATTATTTCATGGTATCTGACCATTCTTTCTAATTCATTCACTCAGGTTTAAGAAATTATAAAATTTTTTGCCAAATTCAAAGAGTAAAAGAATTATCCTCTTATTACAAGCAGAAGCTGGAAAAACGTGACATTCAAGAACATGAAAACCATAGACTGTGTGAGGAGCTTGAAAAATTTGCTGCTACAACTTTAGTTCATTGTTGTAAAATTATTTACATGTTTTTCATGCTTCTTAGGGACAGTGATATGTCAGTGAACCAGTGACACTGGGTTATCTGGCTAGAGGTTTTCTTTAGAAGGATGGAACACCTCTCCTATGAGGAAAGTCTGAGAGAACTGGGAATGTTCAGCCTAGAGGAGGCTCTGGGGTGACTTTACTATGTGCTGAAGGGACACTACAAGAGAGCTGCAAAGGGACTTTTTATAATGGCCTGGAGTGACAGGAAAAGGCGTGATGGCTTTAAGCTGAAAGGCCCTGGCACAGGTTGCCCAGAGAAGCTGCGGCTCCCGCATCCCTGGAGGGGTCCAAGGCCAGGCTGGGCGAGGCTTGGAGCAACCTGGGATAGTGGAAGGTGTCCATGCCCATGGCAGGGGTGGAATGAGATCTTTAAGGTCTCTTCCAACCCAGACTATTCTGTGATTCTGTGGTCCTTGGAGAGGTAACTGATGTGAACAGTTTTGATTTCAGCACCTTGAGAGCTGTGTGAAGACCTGCAGAGCACAGTGGTAACCAGGCAGCAGTGGGTATGGGGCCCACACACCCACAATTCCATCAGGTTTTCCTTGGGGAAGCTGCAGCTCCTGCTATTTACTTGCAGTGAGGGTGACCACTCTCAGTGCAGTCAGTGAGGGATGTTGGGGGCTCACTGTACCTTCTGTCACCTTTAAAATGAGCAGTTTTGCTGTGTATTCATTTACATAAAGTGAGGTAAACCTGGTCAGCTTCTTTATTCTCTGTTCTCCACTCCTCACCTGAGAAGGCCTTTGTGCACCTGGCAGCTTTAGGCCTCACCCTCAGCATGAATGTCCCAGGAAAAGTATGAAAATGTGACTTGGGCAGATTTGATATTCAGAAATGAAGGGAGCCTTAATGTACTACTGGTTTTTCTTTTAAATAACATGGGGTTTTAGCTATGGGATGATCTAGTTTCCTACCTACTCCAGGTAGTAAAAGTCACAGCTGCTTCAAAAGTAATGATTCAGTGATCATTAATAAAGGCCAGGCATTTTTTTTGGAAACTGATGAATAAGAGCAACTCAAGCCATAGAGACAAAATGATACTCAGCCAATAAAATCCTGAATCTTTGCCTGGCCTCTTACCAGGCTCTTTTCTGAGACAGCTCCAGTTCTTAACTCTGAAAAAAAAAGTTTTCTGCACCCTTAGGTTTTTTCAGTGAGCTGTATCCACCAGCTCAGGGATGGGTCTGACTACCATGAATGCAGACAGGGCAGGAGTGTGGAAGTGGAAGAGCAAGTCTTTTTGGGGGTAGGTAGTCTTTAAGGCAGGTTCAGCTGTACCATGCATTATGTATTATGTCTAAGAGCATGCAGATGGGCTGCCTGTCACCTAAACCAATTGTCTTGGACTTGTTTTGTCTTAGGAGAACTCAGAGCCTTTCCCTCTCCACCTGCTGGTGCAGTAGTATTCTCCACAGAGAATTCTGCCAGAGATATCCTGGAGCTCACCTAGAGATTTGCTCCCTGCTGAACTGTGGGTTTTGGGCAGTTTGTGCTCTAAGCTCAGAATCAGATTCAGCTCACACAGCTTTCCCAGAAGCACTGGCTCCTCAACCAGATGTGTAAGAATCTAGCAAGCAGACAGGTGGTCTGCAGAGCTGTGAGGATCTCAGGCTGTGAGTTAGGGACTAGCATCTCTGTAGATGTGTGTTCACTGCTTGCTGCATCCCAGCTCTGTGCTGGAGAAGACAGGGGCATGCTGTGCCCTGACTAAGCTCCCTGGGTGGAGGACATGGGCCCAGAGGCCAGGAAAGACCTCTGGCATAGAACAAACAAACAAACAACAAAAAAAAAACCAACAAAAAACCCAAAAAAACCCAACCGAACAAAAAAAAAAAACCAGCTGGAAAATCAGGGACAGGAGTGAAAGGAGGGGCAGAGTGCATGCCAAAACAGGAGTAGTGCCTTTGTAGCTTTGTAAAAGCTGTCAGGGCTGCAGAGCTGCTAAAGCAGTCAACAGCTGGGGTAGAGTCCTGGGAACAGAGCTGGAGATAATTGTGGAGGTAGGAGATGAGGTAAACTTGGGCTCACAGACTGCCCAACTGAAAAAGAAGAGGTAACAGCATTTAGCCTGGCAAGGAACCCAAGAGCCATGGTGTAAAATGAGTCTCCTCTAACTCCTGCAGATGGCCAGCAGGTAGGAAAATTCCCTGTGTGTAAGGGGAGGGTGCATCTCGAGGGGAGGACTCAGGGGCTGGACTCAAATCAGGTGGTGAACTCAAAGTGTCCTCCCTGCTGGAGTTGGCTCAGGGCGGTGCTGACTTTACAACTGTCCAATGTCAACTGTTCCTGAAGTGTTGCTGGATACTGAATGCTGTGGCTCGGGAGCTCAAAACCATTTTTTACCTCCCTCTGAGAGAAGAAGAAGAAAGAGCTCTGCCCCCAAAACAGTCAAGACCTTTCTCAGGTCAGTCTTAAATTCTTACCTCCCCCAGCACCTGCTTCTCAAGCCCTGAGGATTTCACTGAGCCAATTTAATGCTGGTGGTCAGACAGTTTAAACCCATTAGCTCCCAGCTATCTGAATAATTTTCTCCTGGGCTGCCAGCACACAGACAGACTGCTCTAACCAGAACTGCAGAGCACTGCCACAGGACCTGGACCTTTGCTGACTGCTGTGGCCTGTGTGGTGAGCACTCAAGGGCTGACGAAAATGCCACTGGCGAGATCCTTGTCCATGACATCTCTGAATGGGCTTCCTCAGTGTGAGGATGAAGACATGCCCGTGGAGGATTTGTTGCTCTTTGAAATTTCCTGGGAAGTTACCAACAAAGGTTTGTACCACACTTGGGGGTTAGTATTGCTGTTTTCTCAGGAATGGAGGGAGGGATGAAGGGCTGGAGATGAAAGGCATTCAGAGGGAGATTGGAGAGGGCTGCAGAGCTGCTGGATTGGGAGAAGTGCAGATGTTTAATCGTGCATACTGAGTGTGGGCAGCACCTGCTTTTTTGTGTGGGATGGGCAGAGCCAGGATGTCTCTGTGTCCTTTTGTGTTCCACCAGCAGGGAGAGGGGGTTTGAACATCTAAGTGGTAAGTCTGAGTGTGCAGATATATATATTGCTTTGTACATACTTAGCTTTTGCCTTCCATGCAAATTCTCTTGGGAACGTCATGCATGGAAATGAGCTGTACAACAGAGATCAGATGCAGAGCAGTTTAGCAGCCCCCCTGTCAGCCTTCTAGAGCAGTGTGGAGAAGAGGCCAGGCCTGGAGGGGGTATAAACAAATAGAGCTGTGTTACAGCCACTGAACAAAACCCAGGGGTCAATGACCGGCAGCCTTTGTGTACGAGCTGAAACTCTTCTGGACTGCTCTTTGCAAACACAGGTGGTGCCAGACAGGGGCTTCATTTGTTCATTGGTTGCTGCTGGTCAGGCAAAGGGCATGCTGCTTATTGGGCAAAAATCCTCCTGCCTCTGTTTCCAATTCACTCGTCAAATCATCCCCTTTCGGGGATGTAGTTCTGTAAGCTTCCATTTTCACCACAAAAGTGAGTTAGTATTAGTAGGAGTAAATGATTGACCCCATGTGTGTTTTTCTCTTGGCAGGTAAATAGAGATTGTTCAAGAGAGGGGATCTGTAATTTGTTAAGAATTTAACTTTAAAGGGAAATGTGTGTGAGAGGATTGGGCAGTGCTGGGATTTATCCCCATGGGGAAACTGGAATTACTGTTCTGTGATAATTTCTGCTGGTTTATATTGCTCTTTTTAGGGTAGTGAGCCCTATTAATACCCAGAGGTGGGACAGAGCAGATTTGGCGGTTTGAATCCCTGTGGGCTTATTTTTCAGTAGCTTCAGCTGAGATTCTAGAGTTAATTTACTAAAGCCACAACTTGGAGCATGCAGCATTCACTTTTGCAGTGTGCATGATAAGTAAGGCTCTGGCAAGCAGATGGCAGCAGAAATCTAGGAAATTCAGGAGCTCCCACTAACTTCTCTGAACTCCACAGCATACATGTTTTCTGAGTCATCTGGACCCAGTGGTTGTAGATATCACACAAGACATTTAGGAAAAGGTAACCAAATTAGGTTTTCCCAGAGCATGTACAAAAGGTAGTGAATCATTTAATCACCCATGGAACTCTGTCTGACTTCACTGGAGCCAAATCAACTGACACAGCTAAAATTTACTATTTACACATTTAATGAGACAAAGTCAATTTTATCCAGTATGTTTAAAAGCAATGTGCCTTTGCTTACACCACTTTCCAAGCCCATATATTCAGACAGGGCTGAAGCAACATGGCATGGAAAACAATTTCTTCATTAGAATCTGACCTTGTACAAAGTTTCCATTAACCAACCTTGACATCTGTGCAAAACCCCTTTTATAAGCCTGTTTCAGCATATTTTTCAGGTAAATTCTTGATACTGAGGGTTTGGGGTTTTTTCCTCAATAGCAAAATATAGGGAGAGTCATCACAAAAGATATATAGGCTTAGGAAATAATAGCTTGTACTGTATATTTCCTATCTCCTTTAGCAGGAGGAATTGTTTATTTGATGAAATAAGCTGACCACACAGAGATTTAGTTCTGCTGCATGTTGTAGTGTTTGTGCTGCTGTATATGTTCCTAACATAGAGGGCAAGATAAACATTAGATACATGTATTGCCTGACAAGCTAATTTTGAGCATTTAAGATGAACGTTTCTTTCTTCCTTTCTGGCAATGCAAAGGTGTGTCAGAGGAGCTCAGGCTGAAGTTGGTTTGCATTTCTGAGGTGGTGTAAAGCTGCTGCTGCCCACAGGAGTAAATCTCAGCCTTTGTGTTTATTTTGTTTGCATCACCAGGTGCTTGGGTACATTTCCTCCTTGGCCAGGGCTGCTTCTTAGTAATCCCTCCATTTCTCTTGTGGCACTGACAATCAGGCTGAATTGTCCTCTTTCCTGTGAGGAAGATGATAGCAGAGCTCACAGGTGGATATCCATCCCCACACACTGTAACCAATGATCTTTACAGGTGTTGAGCTGAACCTCCTCAGAGCCAGAGGATGGTGAGGGGATTCTGCAAATTGAAGAATATCTGATTCTGGAGAGAGAGAGGGTCTTCATGTGCCTGGCTGCCCACAGGGAGCAGGCATTCCCTGGGATTTTCCTGATGGTGCTGGCTGTTACTGAGGCATGAGGTGCAGCTATAGGGAAGAACAAGATGGTTGTATGAACTCAGGGCTCTGAGATCTACAAGTATCCTTTATTTCCAGAGACTCATCTTTTCTGTGTCAGCAGCAGGAACAGAGAAGTTGTCTCTCCTTTTTTTAAATGTAGAGATCATTTAACACATGCTCTAATAAGGCAGAGTTTCTACTTCTCCATGTTTCCTTTTTGGATTTTCTGTCCTGGCTGCTGCCTCTGCTAAGTTACAACCTCTGACATGGAAAACATTGGCCTCTCAGTTACTGCTCTCACTCTTCTCTGTCTAGAGGAAGCAAAGATAAGGTAGCTGAAGGAGAAAATGGGAAATAAAAAAGGCTTATCTGCCAGTGCCACTGTCCCTCACCCTTCCCCCAAGTCACATGATAGAGAACTTGCCATCTGAACTAAACAAAGTATGGAAATCCTCCAGCATTGAAAGTGCTCTGCCAAAGAAATGAGAAATGTGCAGTTTGTTTTGTGAGATTTCCCTCACTTTAGTTGGCTTTTCACTGGTGGGCAAAACCCTGTGTAAAGTGGATCTACAGTGTTTCTGTGGCAGAAAGTGAAAAATGCAGGCAATGAAAGGTCCCAGTCCACTGCAGTGCTACAAATCGTGGGGGAGATCAGTATTTTTAACTCTTCCTTTCCTGCCTGGCCATCATGCTCTAGTAAAACCAGGTCTGGTCATACAGGAGTGAAAAAAAAGACTGGTTTCTTTCCTCCATGGCATAAAGATCAATAAGCACAGCAGCACAAAAGAAATGGCTACCAAGCTATGGAGATTTTGTGCCTGGATTTGTCTGTAGTGGATTTTCTGACACATTAGTTAGAAGGGCTGAGAATGTTCAAGATCTGCTCTTTTCTCTAGAAAGATGTCTTGAAAATAATTCCAGTGATATTTAGATTAGTACTCCTTGCTGTACCACTCACAGCTTTTAGATAGAAAGTAGAAAAATGCTTAAAAATGCTGGGCAAACAGCCAGCTTGTGTCATCATTCAGCTGGGAACAGCTTAGCTCAAGAGTCACTGGTAGATGAATCTCAAATGGTTTTTTTTTCCCATCATCATTGGAATGAAGACTGTGCTAAAAACAAAACTTGTTTCAGCTCTCCCTGGAGCAGAGATCTCAGTTCAGTTTCTTTGGTGAAAAACTGGACTCTTGGAAATTAAATCCTGCATCCACTGAAGTCAGTAGGACCAGCATTTAACCTCCTCTGTGTCTTCCTATGATGAAACTTCCTTGGGAGAAGGTGATTACTGTAATTTGTGACACAGCTGAAGTAACACCTTTTGGAGAGTGGGGATGTGCTGGCATAAACTTGGCATAAGCACAGCCTCAGAGCTCTGTGCATTTATAGAGTGGGGTGGAATATCAATGTCAAATCAATTCCAAATGAAATCCTGTGGACTGGGGATGATGCACACAGAAATAGCTTTTTGATTGTGGACATCTGTCATAAATTTCAGCGGTTCAATGTTATTTCAGAATATGTTTGGGATGTCAGTATTTCAAAGAATGTAGAGATCTGTCTCCTGAGGAGTCCCAGCTACAAACATAGCCCCAAAACCACAGGAAAAATATCTGCTGGCTGAAGATGCCAGTTGTTTTTCACCTGACACATTTTATAGCCTGATTTTATTAATGGCAGCTAGACATAAATCAATCAATCAATCAAATTCCATTCAAATGTTAGAAACAAGTTAAATCCAAGTTTTTATCGCACCTGTGCAGATCAAAGACAATTTCAGAGGAGATGGGTGAAACAATTCATGTAATGAGTGACTGTGGCAGTGAAGTCAGTTTGAATCCTGAGCCTGGGCTCATGCTGCTCCCATGGATCCTGTGGCACTCATGGTTCTCATGGAAGCTTTAATGCCTTCCTAGTGATCTGGTCAGGACATAGCAAAGAAGCTGCGGAGCCCTGGAAGCATCCTGATCCTCTCTCTGTGTAGCAAAGGTGTGTGGGAAAGGATCAGTGATCATCTCCACTTATCTCTGTCTCACTTCCATAGTTCACTGCCTACTTCTCTCCCTCATTTTTGGTTTCTGCTGCTCCTTCCCTCTGTCCTTCTGCAGTGTGGGGTGGGTAGCAGGACAAGCCCTAACTACTGCTTGGTTTTTAAATATACAAAAGAAATAATGCAACAGGACTTGAAACAACGAAAAAAGAAAATGCTGGAGTGGCGCAGAGAACTCCTTCAGACAAATTCATAGTAGTGTTAACATAGATAAAAAGACTTAGACTTTTAAAATAATTTTATAGAATATTTTCTGAGAAAGTATTTTGGTTTCATCTTCTATTTTTTAAAGAGGTCGGTAAAAAGAGGTCAAACTTCCCTTAAATTAACAAAATCCTTCTTTCCCAGATATCTTAGCTCCCCTTTCTGGGCCAGTTTATTTTTTTTCCCCTAAAAAAAAATAAAAAAAAAAATAAAAGAGAGGAAGAATGGAAAGGAGCTAGATGGGGGAAAGATTTGTTCTTGATTTCCTTTTCAACTTGATTTCGTTTATTGGTGGAAAAGTTAAGAGTGTGTTTTAAAAATAAATAATATAAATATATTTCTTTCAAGGATGTTTTAAAATCTAACTAAAACTTAATATGTTTGAATAAAGCATTTTGTTGAACATCAGAAAACTAAACTATTCCTGTAACAACATTTTACTGCTAATTCTCCTTAATCTGTGATATTCCAAAACAGTTCTTTTGTTCTGATCTCTACTGATTCTCTATCTGTTTCTCATTTTGTCATTCCTTGTTTGTTTTAACCCTGTTTCAAAGTACAAAACTTCAGAGGCAACATAGAGAAACTTGCAGCATTTTGGTATATCCCTGCTGTTTGGAAAGGTTTTCTGTTTGTAGTATGACCTAAAACAAATTAGAGAAGAAAAAGAAGGTTTACCAAATTGTTGAAGCAATTTGAGAATTCTGTGAGGTGAATATGTAAACCCCTACTTTGCTTTTCAGTAGGATATGTAATGTTTTGCTTACTGGCACAGGTATTTCCAGGGAATTCAATGCAACTGAGCATATAGAAACTATCTCTTAAAGATAGGTAATGTGTTCCTTGAGTTTGCTATGGAGAAGTGTAATTTCAAGTCAACACATTATTCTAGACGTTGCTCTGTTCTTCTCAAGATGTCTTTTTTAAGTTATACCCAACACTTCCTACATACATAGTTTCACTTGCAGTTTCCCTCCGCTGTCAATTAAACCTTATGCACAGACATGCTTTGTGAGTCATATTTCCACAGTAACAGGGAAGACAAAAGCAAGTCTGGGGGCCAGGTAACACTGCTTTTTTTATCACAATTACCTTCAGAGGGGTTTTAACAGCCTGTGGAATGCACTCTTTGGATTTTATCATAAGTACTTTTAATTGCATTTCAGGCAAATCAGGGCCCTGAAAAGTTTTTTACCTTGCTGTGCAACAGATTTCCACAGCACAGCACACTCTCCATTCTTTCCCCCATAAGAGGTCTTCTATACATCTTTGGCCCTTTAAGGCACACAGGGATCCTAAGGAGAACCTTGTGGAAACAAACACTCAGATGCTGCCTGTGTGAAACAAAGATCCAGGCTCTAGCCAGCTCTGAGCTGCAGCTTCCTCATTTCTCTTCAGATCTGTGGCTGTGGAAACTCAGCTACATTGCTGTGGCAGTGTGCTTCAGGGGAGACAAAGAGTTAACATTGTCCCACCCCAAACCCCTTGTGAAGGACGGCCCAGGTGTTCTGATTGGGTTTGAGTCCCTGGGGGTTTCTCCCTTGTTGTGTTTCTAGTGGTCCCTGACCCTGAACTCCACCCTCAAGGGTGGAGACCCTTGGGAGTTCTGTCCCTGCTGTGCCTCTGTTCGGGGCTCTCTGTTCTGGATCTGAGTTTGTTCCAATGCTGAATAAATGGTTTCATGAACTGGGAGCCCGTCTTGTTGGTGTTCCATGCTGGTCCCCGGAACCCTGCAGCTTCCCTGGACGAGATCCCAAGATTGCGGAATGCAACACATTGCCAATCCCAGTGTTGAACCCCTTGCAATATGGAAGAGGCTGCTCCATGCTCCTGGGATTGGGGAAGGAGCTTTTGCTTCACTCTAGGCATGCACAGCTTTATCATGATATTTAGTGTCTTTCATCTTGCAAGTCATATTTCCTCTTTTTTCCTGGATCACCAGGCTGCTCTGCACTGAAGTCTTCCCTCATTCTAAGTTCTGTATCCCTGCCAATTCAAACCAGCCAGTTTCATGAGTAAGATTTCTACCGAGCCTCATATTTATTCATTTTGGATTGAAGCCCCTTATGCTCCTATGATGAATTTACCACCCTAAAAAACAGATGTATCATCGTAACTATTGCTTTATTGCTTTCTTTTTATTGCTTTTTTTATTGCTTTCTGGTCCTTCCACTATCCAGAGTAATAGTCTTACACATAGGTTTCCTTCTGCAGTTCCGTGTCTACATGACATGAAACTCTTGAACTGACAGCTTGATTTAGGAAGAGACATCTGTAAAATTATTGTCTTCTTAGGTCTTGAATTATTAAGGGTAATAATTTATTGTACTAATTCTGCTCAGCAAGCTGGTACATTGGAACTGCATTTTTTTTTCTCTTTGTAAATACCTAGAATCTTGAGACATGAAAATATTAAGACTAGAAATCTTTGCAGCATTCAGAACAAATGGGATATTTGTAGAGAAAAAGCATTTAAGTGAACAATTTCTTTTCTAGGAGAATAATTAAAACTGTAGTTCTGTCATTTGGCTCCTCAGGGCTGCAAGACACCAGGCTTTGCCGAAGGCTTTCTGTAGTTGTCAGGGGATACATTTTAATTAATCTGGGAACTAATCTCCCAAAGTGCTGAGCAACTTCAGCTGCCGTGTTGTACATACCAGTGGCAGATTTTTAAGAAGAATTAGGTAACTTCTCAAAGTTTTAAATTCAATTGGATGTGGTGCATTGGCACCTCTGAATATCCCAATAGCTTTAAAAGGGTGAGCCTAGAGTGCCAGCTCTCAATCCCTGGCAGCTTTCTGTGCTGACTCCATAGGCAATTTTGATGTCACTGCTGGAAGCTTCAGCACCATCTCCTTCCCTGGAGCCAAGTATTTCCAAAGCTTCGTATTCAGTGGAGGAAGAAAATTTTATGTAGGTGCACCAATCCTTTCTGTAGTGTTTCTTTTGCTCTTTGTACCTGTTGAGCTCCCTCTCTCTCACCTTGCTGGAGCTACACTCATTGTCTCTGGTGTGCAGCAGCTGCTTGGCTTCAGGTTTTCTTTTTCCTTGCCATCCCTCTCCCTTGCTGGATTCAAGCATCCCCTATTGTTCTTCTGACTTGGTGGTGGTGCAGTGTCCACTGCCTGGCACCCTGGGGACTGTGGCGAAGGGAAGTTTGCCCTGCCAGTGCATGAATTCCAGGGCTGGCTGTGGAAAACTGTGAGGAGGAGCAGCTAAGGGACTCTTGCACACCATCTGCAATGCTGGATAGATCTGTATTGACTTGGCAAGGGATGCTGCTGGATTCTCTTAAACATTTGAATGCTGCATTTGTTTTTAAAGCAAACAATATTTTGGTGAAAGATGCTACAGACATTTATATTGTCAGTGTAGGCTACATTCCCTCCAACTTTAACAGCTCTTCAAGACTGATAATGGAAGACTCCTTATGCTTTAAGGATATTGGTTTAAGTCCATTTTATAGCCAATAGTCAATGAAATCCATCAGTTCCTCAACTTCTCTTAGTGATTTGTGTCAAACAAGCACAGTTCTTACCACGTGATGAAAAATAGGTTTGAAAATTATAACTGTGCCAATAAAACAAAAGCAGAAGGCTGTGCTTGGGATGCAGCAGAATCAAGATTAGACATGGGAGAGTGGAAGTATGAGGCCCAGGATTTTAATCTCTCAACTGAACTGTGAAGTTCTGATATCATTTAAGAGACTGAACTTCCATTTATTTGGTAGAGGCTGGATTTCAATTAAAACCTACATGTGTGAAGGGATTTAACTAGCAGTGTATCTGATCCACAGGTGGGTTGGACCTTAGTACAGAGATCTGTGGCCTGTGCCCCTTTCTAATTTTTGTTCTTTGTGATCTTTTGCAGTGGGAGGCATTTACACTGTGATCCAGACAAAAGCCAAAACTACAGCAGATGAATGGGGCGAAAACTATTTCCTGATTGGCCCCTATTTTGAGCAGAATGTGAAGACTCAGGTGGAATTCTCTGAACCTCCAAACCCTGCAGTTAAGAAGGCAATGGACACCATGAAAAGCCAAGGGTGTCAGGTAAATCAGATGTGCTGCTGCTTCCCAGGGCAACAAATCTGACTCTGAGAAGATTAAAGTTTGGGTTAATGCTCTTGTCGTTCCACTTGACACAGCAGTCCTGGGCAATGTCACAACGGGAAAGGCTTGGAATCCACTGTTAGAACAGCAGAGTCAATTCATTAAAGGTTATTTTTGAGGAAGAACCGGTTCATCCAATTATGGGTTTTAACAGTCATTTATCTGCAAGCTGCTTAATTGGATTAATGACTTATTTATCTGGTCTCTAAGTATGGTGAGATTTTAGTAGATATAATATGACCTTACTTTGAGCCTTTACATTTCACATTCTTGCAAAGGAATGAGAAGAGTGTTCCATTAGCTCTCAGTTTTTCTAATGAAGCATAATGTTGAGCTGAAAACCAGAAAAGGACTTGAGAAAAGAACTGAGGTGACAAAGAATTGACTTCCTCAGTTCAGTGCAACCAGCTGTCAGTTCCCTGGGAAGAGAGGTTAAACCACGACACAAGAAGTGGATTCATCTCTCTTCCAACATGATTTTTAACCAGTGTTTTCTGTGTGATCTCATAGCCTTCCTGAGACTTGGTTTCTCCAACAATAAAGTAGGAATAAACTTCTTCCTGTAAAGATTATTTGCTAAAAGAAATAGATTATCTGCTGTGTTGGTGGGAAATGATTAAAGCGGCAAGCAGCTTTGGTTACCTGAAAATGAGTGGAAGATAACTCATGCTAAATTTGCCCTCCTTTCTTTAAGTCCTTATCAGAGATGTAGAACTCGCCTGCACTCTGACTGTGTTGAGTCCCTCAGAGATGCCTGTTTGCAGGAGGAAAAATTGTCCGCTCATTATGCGTACTGAACAGATGTGGAGAGCATCGAGAGGCAGCAGCAGGGAAATGTTCTTAGCGTTGCTGAGGGGATTGACATACTTCACTGTAGAAATTCCTAAAGGTCTTGAGCTGCTGCTAGCTGTGGCACTGGCAATGTGTTGTCTCCCTTTGTAAGTGCAGTTGTGCTGTTCTTAGGATCTAATGCCCTGTTTTGCAGATGTTTCTTGTTGAATGAGTGTGTGCCACAGCTTGAGAGAGTGTCAAGTGACATGATGCTTGCATTGTACAGGCTCAAACTGAAAGGTCCAATTTCCCATTTCTTATCTTTTTCAGATTTTCACAGGTGATTGATCAAGTTTTCAGTGTTGCCTCTGTAACATTCCTTTGTCTGGAAAATGGCTAAAGACTTCTACGGCAGATTGATTGCAATGCTTTATATTTTTCCAGCAATGCATCCAATTTAATCAGCCGCCTCTGCCAGCCCAACATGTGTATGGTGCTGCTGGAGTATTCATATACAGCAGCAAATCTGTCCCAGGGACGTCAAATACAGCTTTGACCTCCAATAATGACGCTCTCGTTTCCAGGAGCTGCACTTATCCTATTAACATTTATGTCTGGATTTTGCTTATGCATCACAATGGATGGTTTTAAACCAGGGGACCTAGGAATTCTTCCAAACTTCTCAGGTCAGGTGTGTTCCTTGCCATGACCTGACCCCGTATTTAGATGAAGTCTGGGTTCCATTCATTTTCCTGAACAGCAAATCTGGAGAGTCTGAAATAAATACATGAGGAGCAAAAAGGAGCAAACCTGTCTTTGTTATGACTTGTACTTTTTGTGAAAACAGGCCAAGGGCTTTTCTCTTTTTTGTTTTCAAGACCTGACCTCTCTTCAGCTCATTGTAGCATCAGGGCTGGGTTCAACCCCTGAGGTCCCAGCTGTTTTGATGGCAGATTTAATGTGAAATAATTTGACTTTGCAGACTGTAGTGTGGGCCCAGCTGGGTTGGGCAGGCCGGTGAGGGCAGTGAAGTTGTAAATATTCTTAGAAATGTTTAACTATACCAATGGAGACAAAGCAGGAAAGCTGCATTTTTAGCCTGAAGTGATTTTAGGTATTGAAATACTTTCTGATAGATCCTTCCACTCTTCCAAATGGAAGTGGAATCCTTCCCTCCTGTGCTGCTTCTGGGGAAGAAGGAAGAAATGACATGGTAGATACAGGCGCCAAAATACAGCAGTCCTACAAAACCTCTCCCCAGTAATCAGGCATAAATAGCAAAAGACTGGAGACATATATGAGTGAAAGAAAATAATAATTTTAAAATAAGAACAGAAGTAGCATAGATGCTTCAATAAGAAGACCTCATTATTCAAGCAAGTGCAGTCTTCCTAACCATTTCTTTTCTTTTATGGAAAAGAAGTTAATACTGCAATGAAAATCTGAAATTAAAGTCTTAAAAGTAGAATGTTCCTAAAGATTATAGTTTCCTTTGTTTCAGTATTACTCCATGTATTTTACTAGGAAAACTGCAAGTCCTGAGTGTGTAGGACTGTGAACACATATTCTTTGTGTGAAATACTTCAGATTTGATGGATGAAGATCATTGTGCTAACTGGCCTTTACATTCACTTTAACATTTTCTTTCTGTCGTTCTTATCCTTTCCTCCTTTCCACAGGTCTTTTTTGGAAGATGGCTGATAGAGGGCAGCCCATATGTCTTACTGTTTGATATAGGATCAGCAGCTTGGAACCTGGACAAGTGGAAAGGTGAATTTTGGGAAGTCAGCAACATAGGAATCCCTTTTCAGGACCGAGAAGCCAACGATGCTGTGATTTTTGGATCATTAACAGCCTGGTTTTTGAAAGAGGTACAGTTTTTAAATCTAGAGACTTGCAGACCAAAACTGGCTTTGGGATGTGGTTCCTAGTCTCCAGTTTGAAAACTAAGGTTTTTAGGAAGTTGATCTTAATGTAGATCAAATTGTATTTAAAACTTAAATGTTAAGTGGTCATTTAAGTACATTTTTCTAGAGGAAGGGCAGTGGGGCTGCCCAGTGCAGAGTCTGAGTGACTGTGCTTGCCAGAACCCTCAAAAACTCTAGAAAGGAGTCTGTTCTGAGGCACTAGAGAGGCACACATTTTTCTTGTGCTAAGGATTAGGGCTGTTGGAAATCAAGGCACATGACCACTTAAAATGGTACTGTTTTGTTACAAGAAGAAAAGCAAGCACACAGAAGGCTTCACAAAAAAAACCCAAAACAAACAAACAAAAACCAAAATAAAAAAAAATCTGAGGCTGGGATGATGGACAGGATGATGCATGTTTTCTATATTTCTTTCTATTTTCAGCTTTCCTGTCAGTTTGATGAGAAGCCCAATGTAATTGCCCATTTCCATGAGTGGCAGGCAGGAGTGGGTTTAATCCTGTCTCGATCACAGAAACTCCCTGTCGCCACAATTTTTACTACCCATGCGACTCTGCTAGGGAGATACTTGTGTGCAGCCAGTATTGACTTTTACAACAACCTGGACCAGGTAAGAGACATTTTTCTCATTCTTCTCTGTTTATTTTTAGCTAATCATCTCCTGGCTCCCTTTCTGTTTACTGTGTTACACCATTTATTGAATTTTCTGTCTTGTGTGTGATCACTTATGACTGACCCACAGCTGGTTGTTGATTCCAGAGCACAAGAAATGGTATTTGTAAGATCATGAGGTGTCTAGGCATGAGTGCCCTTGTGTCATCTGACAGGTCTGAAAGCTCAGTGGAAACTAGTAAAACCTATTCAACCCTAGACAACATCTGACCCTTCAGGTGCAGCCTCACAACACTCTTCCTTAATGTAACACAGTAGAAAAAATAACCAGTAGCCCTCCTCTTGCGAAAAGTTGTGGAGGATGATGGCTGCTTTTTTTCCCCCCAGCTTGCTTCTTAATTTTCACAAACCATAATCAGTCCTAATTTCAAGCATTTCAGGTTCAGCCTAATTTGTAACTGGCAAATGTAGGAAATATTTTCTGGTCCAAAAGACCCATATGTATTTCTTGGAATCTGTGTAAACTCTCTATTGGTTTTGATTTTCACTGTTCTCTTTCCACTCAAAGCATAGCACAAACCAATGTTTCGAGGACCCAAATGTTTTTAGCACTGCCATCTTTGGGGTACTTTGCATGATCTGGAATTTCTTACATGGTCACAGACAAACCTGAATTCAAGAGGCTTTTCCATTCCAGCACTTAGTGAATGTAGAGGTAGATGAAAGAACCACGTTGTTCAGGCACTTCCTTGGCTAAGATCGGTGAAGAGAATTACATCGTTGGTAATTTTCAGTTGGATGTTTGAAGCTTGACACTTTGGGGAACTGTCTTTCAAAGACAAGGCCTAAGCAGTTGTGTACTGCTGGCCTGATTCAGGAACAGAAAATCATGGAATCGTGGAATGGTTTGTTTTGTTTGGTAAACATCACTTCATTCCAACCCTTGCCATGGGCAGGGACACCTTCCACTATCCCAGCTTGCTCAGGGCCCCATCCAACCTGGCCTTGGACACTGCCAGCGATGGGGCAGCCACAGCTTCTCTGGACAACCCGTGCCAGGGCCTCACTACCCTCTCAGGAAAAATTTCTTCCTTGTATCCAATCTAAACTTTCTCTCTGTCACTGTGAAGTCATTGCCCCTTGTCCTGTCACTCCAGGCCCTTGTAAATCATCTCTACTAGTCTCCTAAGCTAGTTATGGTTGTTAGGTACATTAATAAGGCAGCATGAATATCACGGTCCTGCTGTGGAGGAGTCCAGACATTCCTGCTCCCTCATTGTCTCTTTATGTATATATATGCATAATATAGAATGGTTTGTTCTGATTCTGGTTAATTCAGTGAGCTGCAAGCAGTCTGGAAAGTAGACTTTATTTTCTCAAAGCAACTGTTTTTTCTCTTCATGATGAATTTGGGGGCCTCACCCTTGTTCGTGTACTCAAAAGAAAAGTTAATGATCTCACATCTTAGTGACCCTGCAGACTTTAATATATTTATAAACTAGCCACAGTATTAATACATTTTCTTCTGTTTATATGTTACATGGACACCTTTATGTGTAGAGGCACTATCTGTCCAAAGCCCCACAAATCCCATTGGTAACCATCAGCTATGTCACAAATACAGAAATGTCTATTCAGATTTTATTCTAAGAATATGTGGAATGAAAAATAAGTATCAATTTCAGATATTTTTCTAAATTGCTGTAAATAATATTTAAGGGAAGAAAACAGTGGATTTCTAGGCTGTAATGCTTTATACCCTCTGTTGGTTGACATTTAAAGGTACTAATAGAGGAAATTATATCAAGCTGTTATACCATTGTTTAATATTTCTATAGGATGCTAAAACTCTTCCTGGAAAAGTTAACTGAGGACTTCTTTGGCTGTGAAAAGATCACCTTGGCCCAAAATTCAGTTGAGACACAAGAAGCTGATCTCGAATACTATAATTAAATAACAGAGAGCTAGATCTTCAGACATATTCTTGTTGTTGCCTTCTAGCAGCAAACTATTTAGGTCAAACAAGCAATTTGTCAGTGAAGAAGATTCTTTTAGGGCTTCCTAATGTTTAATCTTTGGAGGAAGCAATATTTTTTAGAGCATTTCATTCCCTCCCACCCTAAAGTAAAATAGCTGGGTTTCCTGTTGTAGTGCTATTGCATAAATGTTTTCCTTTGAAGTATAATTAAGTTCTCAGATTTGACCAGTGTTTCACAGCTAGAACACAGTTCCCACCAGGCAGCAGCTGAGATTGGGGGAAAGATGCAGCTGCAGGATGTGTTGTGCCAGAAGTCACAGAAAAATGCCTGCAGCACAGATTGAAAGTGCATGGCCTTATTGTGCCTAGACACAATCAGGCATGTACAGCTCATACGGAGAAAAGAGGAAACCTCATATCTTTGTTTCGGCTCCCCAGCACAGTCCCCAAATTGCTGAGTTAGGGTGCCTGGTAGACAGTTCTACATCACCCACACAGTGCAGGACTCTCCCACTGCACTGTCAAACCATCCTCACAGAGAAGCAGGGCTAGAAGATGTAAGATCAGTAGAGTCCTGAACTGTACACTACCAAAACTCCCTGTTTCATGAGCTGAGGGCACATGTCAGTATGTAGGCTGCAAAGCCAGTCAGCCTAGTAGAGGAGAGCAGTGGATGGCTGGAAGATGGGAGGGTGCATTAGAGATGTAAGACTGTAATGTTCTGTGAGTCCTGACCTCTTCCTGAGCCATCTGCTCTTTGCCTCAGTCAGAGATGGGATCCTGGTTCTTAAGGCAGCATTACAGCTTAGCAACTAGACATGGCACTCAGGGCTGTGCCTTAATTGACAAGGTGGTGATCAGTCAAAGGTTGGACTCAGTGATCTTTGAGGTCTTTTCAAACCTTAATGATTCTGTGATTAAAGTTTGAGCTTATACAATTCCTATATTCTTACAGTTTTAACTCAGTTCATCTGGACTGGCTGCAATTTATCTGCCTCTGCTCCAGTGAGAACCTGGGTGTTAAACTCTTAGCAGGTGCTCAGGAGCACAGTGACCACCAGAAGTAATGCTGTTGTGTTACTATTTAGTGCATATTTTAGTACCTAGATTCACATTTAATTCACTCCCATCCTGGAGAAAGGAAGGGAGGGAAAACCAAAAGAGCAAAACAGGGGGTGACATGTGCAGTAACTGTCAGTGTCTTTACTTCTATTTACTTTTAATTATTTGAAGAACCCTGGGTAGATGACTGGGCTAGGAACTGCTCACTAAACCTATGGGTTACTGGCTTGAACTCTTGCAAACTCAACTCTTCCTAATTTCAATAACAAGAAGGGTTTGTTATGAGTTTAATTCCCAAAAGAAGTTTAAGAACTTTTGTATGTCTAAATAATCCAACCAAAAGAGCATTTTCCCATTGTCTCCATTTCCAGTGTAACTTTTACATTAGATTTCTTTTTTGCCAAGATCAACTGAACCAAAATTGCTAAAAGTTAGGAATTTCTCTGAAAAAAATCTCTAAGTCTGTGGAGCCTTTCTGTCTTCAGGAAGAATTGGCTTCTTAGCTGAAGATTGAGAATATTAATCTGTTATTGTTTTCCCCATTGTTTAAAGGGACTGATTTAGGTTTTTGTTTGTTTTGCATGGGGATTTTTTAGTATCCTTTCATCTCTTTAGAGTTTTAAATAGACCAGCACCTTTCATAAATTGACTGAGACACTGATGATTCAGACAAGTTCCTAGGTGAATAGACAGCTAATTTTGGGGAATTATTTAACCTGGAATTTCATCTTAGAGGTCATCATCTGAAATGATTTTTGGGACTACTGGTCTGGCATCATGAGAAATTTGTATGCTTCAGCCTCTGATGCTTCTTACTAAAAAAACACTTTGAGTTTAATGGGAAAAGTGTTCTAAGAAGAAGGAAAAAAAGGTTAGTCATAGTCTTCATTGCCTTTTTCCTTAGGTTGACTTGCTGATGTGTAACACTTCCGTTTAGAACTTGGAACATTTTCATTCAGCTCACGAAGGTGCAGCTGAATCCCATTTGCAAAGTGGTGGAAAATCCTGTCCCAAGAAGCGTAAAGCAAAAAGTACTAAAAATCCCAATTAAAATGAATAGTCAAGAGCTTTTTTGCTGACAGTATCTCACTCCAGTTAGCGTGGTACTGTCCAGTTTGTCACCGTGCTCGCTGTTACACAGAGCTAATCCACTTTGTCAGCAGAACAGCTGATGGAAATCTGATTTAAGCCAGGAAGTGTAAATTTCATTCTCTTTGGCCTGGCAGAGCTATACCAGAATGAAAATTCTCTTTGCACAAGGCAACAGTAATTTGGCGGTAAAATTGATGTAAACTGGATTTTAAAGGAGACAGTGGCAGTCAGTGAGATTATGCTGGAAGCAAAAATGTTTCCATTCTACCTTTTAGTAGTTAAGAAATTTGAACTTCAAACCTGTTCCCTGGTCCTGCAGAATCACTTTGAACTTGAGTGTACCACTGTTTTAAAAGACCAAGAGAGATTATTTCATTCTCTGTTTAAAATCCTCATGCATCAAACCTGTACCTTTTAATTGAATTACAAGATATTTACAGCTATATTATCCACTCTTGAGGTAAGGTTTAAATGGTGAGGGTAGTCTGTATTATTTCTGCAAAGGTGTTGTAATGGGGTTTTTAAGGAAAATTACATCTATTAATTCCAGTTTGAATTTATATTTGTTTAACTTCTGTTGGTTTTCCCATACTTTTTTTTTCTTTAGGAGAGCATAGTCTAATATCAGTATCTAGAGATTCTTTGCAAACTGTGACAAATAATTTGTCTTTCTTTTAGACAAGTATTTAGATAGCTAACATAGTCCTTCCTCCTTTTCCACTCTCAAATGATTCTTGTACTTTGGAAACACTTTGCAATTTGTCTTTATAATTTTGAAGTAGGAATGGCTGATTTGGATTTACTACTTCAGTGACTGTTTCCAGAAGAAACATTGCTGCTTAATATTCACTTGTTTTTCATTAAAAGTTCATCTTAGCTGTCTTAAACAGAATGTCATGCTGGGAGGCTCAGTGATTACCTGCTGTGCCCCCTAACATGTTAAATCTTAAGACATGAATGAGATGTTATGCTCATTACATGAATCCATAGAAAAGGCAGAAATGACCAGAAATTTTCCCTCAGAATTGCATTGCAGAAAATGCAAATTTTGCTCCAAAGCATTACACCTTTGGAATATCTTCTTCTTTTGCTTTGAAATTAGAGTGGCCTTATAAAGCAGTCATTTCACCTTCTAATCCTTGCCATCTTGTAAATTCTAACAATCTGCTTGGTTTCTATCAGTCAGGGAAGAGGATACTCCAATAAATTTATGGGGAAGTGGATGTCAAAGTTGTTGGTCTTTAAATATCACTGAAATGGTGGGACTCAAGGATCTGAAGAGCCTCTTCTACCCTAAAGGGTTCTGTAAGCTGTTCATCTGACTTAGATTTTTTTTCTCTTGATGCAGCTGTGATCTGTGGCTTTGCTAGTGTTCCCGTTTGCTGATAACAGCAAACAAACAAAAGCAGGCGTGATGCACTTCACGGGTATCTCGTGTCACTCTGGCTGAACATGAAGGATATAGAACAGAGTTCACAGGTGCCTGATCTGGGCTGGACAGAGAGCAGGGCTTGGTGTTGAGCAGGAACATTGGGTTGGGGGTGAGGAGCTGCCCTGGTGTCCTGCTGGTTTCAGCATATTGTTCCATGCCCCACAGCACCTCTAACTCTGGAGATTGTCAGAGCAGGCTCAGCTGTCTTTGCACAGGACTAGGTGGGTTAAATTTGTCACCTGCACTGTCTCGTCATTTAATTTTAATTTAACCTGCCCTTCAACTTTGCTAAGGCTCTTTGCTGAAGTCGCTTGTCTAGCCTGCTCAGAAGTGCACAGTTCTTACTCCACGCTGAGATCAAAAGTCAAGGTCTTGATTTACTGATTGGTGCTGGAAGCTGCTGGAGAGTGAGAGCAAATGAAATGCGAGAGTCCTGTTACCTCTGTTTGTACTTCCTAATAGATGTGGAATTGTGTACCTTTGAAAAACACGCCGAATGTCCCACAAGGACTATATGCAAAATAAAATACTTCCTGTTTATAAAAGATGGAAAAATGAATGCCAATGAAGAAATAAGCACCAGTATGTGTTAAATATATCAAGTATTTTCATGCAACCAAAGAAATAAAACTAGAAATAAATCATAGTGCTTAACAATCTTTTTATGCACCTTTGTCCCAGCAGTGTTACAGGGAGTGTTTGTCTACTGTTAGTGATCATGTCCCAGATTTAATTTTTCATCACATTTTGTAATTAAAACCCGTTCTTGCTGAGAAAGAGAAAAGAGAACAAAAGCTCCTTGAAGTTTGACCAGCTATTTGTTTGCTAGCAATTTCAAAAGTATTTTTAATAGAAAGCCAAATGTGTTTGAAAAGACTTGCATAGTTCTGACTGTGTAGTTGTGCCCATCCCATTCATATGTTTGTCTAGCATGCTAAGGAACTGTCCCATTTTATATCTTTTTTGCACAGAATGTTTGAACAATCAAATATGCAGTTCAGAGCTGCTTGTGAATCAGTTTAGTGTAAGCCAGGTATGATACTGAGACCTGTGGCACGATAAGGAGCCAAATGAATTCCCTTTTATATTTCTCTTCTTTGTGCTCTTTCTACCACTCAACTTCTGTCAAATGAGATGAATGTTCTAGAGAAAATATCATCCTTTGTATTTCATGCTCTAAAATTCGTATGTGGAATGAGGAAAATACAATATATGTGGATAAACTGAGAAATGGTATCATAATATTTAGCACATTTATGTGGCAAGTTGTATTTGGCCAATGTAGAAAAGCCCTTGATATAGAGGATCATCAATACCATAATAAAGTATCTAGTTTCTTTGGAAGTTTTCAGCTGAGATTTTTCAGGAGTCCTTTTTTTTTGGTCACACTAGGTTGGTTAGATTGGCACTTTCAACTAATACAGTGGAAGCCACTTTCCCACAAGTTGTGTAGCACTGCTGCAAAATTAAAGCAGATAAAAGCTGTTAACCTTCTCAGCAAAGCAGTTCTAAAATATGTGTCTGCATCTGTGTCTATACATATCTAAGTGAAAATAAGTTGTCTGCTTCACTCTAGTTCCATGAAATGGTTCACATTGCATCAATGTTCTCACAGTATGTTCTGTTCCAGCATTAAGCTTTGCAGGACAGGTCACAGCCTAAATAGCTTTGCTTCTGTCCAAGTCCTGAAGTGCTAAAAACAACTGGCCATGGCAGGGGTCACACAGTCCTAACTATAGAAAGTGCTGTCTGGCCTGCCTGTGATAAGGGTCAAATCTATTATGGTCAATGAAGTTGCACAGTCAAATACAATCAAAATCAGGCTGTGCAGCCAGCATTAGGCAGTGATCATGACAGAGCTCATTGAGAGCCATTGTCACCCTCCATGAAACTCACATTGGGTGCCCATGCTGTTGACCTTAGGGGCTCAAGACTTCTGTTTCCAGAAGTGAAACATCATGGAAGACTAAGAGGATTGTGATTTAATTGAAAGCATTGACACCTTTTTTAGACTACGTTGTAGTGATTTTGCAGTGGACACTGTTAGTGAACATTTGAACCTTTAAGCATGAGCTCAAGGAAATTGTGCATTTTCTTTGCCTCAGGATAACACAAGCTCAGTTAAAAAAGGGTAGCTGCAAGATTTAAAGGTGATTTATAAATACTTGGGTGTTTGGGATGTCTAATCTAGCAGTTTAACTTACATCTGCCTTAAAAAATTAAGGGAGTTCAAACTGAAATATAAGAAGCAGCAAACAACAGCAGTTGAGTTGGAGAAAGAACATCTCTGAGTGTCAGAAAATATCTCATTTTCTATTTTCTTTTTTTCCTTTGGGATTTGTGATTGAGGCTTTATATCCTGTCTCTCCACCACAGCTCCATTTCTCTCCTGCCTTCTTGTGATTCCCACCATTCTACCAAGTCCCCAGGTTCTGTCTTCATCCCCATTCCTTTTTTCTTCTCTCCCCTTCAGCTACCAGCAACTTCCCTGCTCTCCCAAGTTTTCAAACAAGTCCGGGGAAGTTGCAACATGGTACATTGGCAGCTAGCAAGCCAAATTCCACAGATCCTTACCTTTCTTGGGATCATTAATCTAGGTATCCTTCCATGGCAGAGCTGCCGTTTTTCAGGAACAAGTGGGATCTCAGAGCTCTCTTGCTCTTTCAAACCCTTTGAAGTTGATAAAATAGTTGAAAAACCAGAATGACAAAACAGCAGCATAATCACATGGTTCTCATTCCCTGGGGGAATGGAGCCTAGCAGGAGAAACCTTCCCTGAGGGAGACAGTCTGATGGTCATGTCACACAGGTGTCTTTTTAATTTGTTTTGTTATTTAACAGTTTGACATTGACAAGGAGGCTGGAGAGAGGCAGATTTACCATCGGTACTGTATGGAGCGGGCATCTGTACACTGTGCCCACGTGTTCACCACAGTCTCTCAGATCACAGCTACAGAAGCAGAACATATGCTTAAAAAAAGCCCTGGTAAGACCTGAATTATTTTTTTTTTCTGTATTTCCTCCAAATGCCTGCACTTAGACTGGATGAACACAATAGAGATAGGTATGCAGACATGAAGAGAAAGAACACATGCACAGCGTGGCTATGTTATTAACCAAATTTCCATGGATGTTAGGGTTTTTTTGCCAGAGCTCCTCAACTTCAGGAATTTTGTCTGTGGCAGGGTTTCCATGCCTTTAGAACTGAACCATAATAAGCTGCATATAGATAAAGTATTTTCTATTTGGCCAAAGAGTAGAGTTTGAAAAATAGTTATGTGCCAAATAATTTGTCTGGTTTTCCCCTTGATATTAGTCTCATAAAATATGAAGCTTAGAAACCTTGTCCTGTTCCATGCATAGATTTTGAGTAAGGTCACGATCCCAGTTTGATGTGTCATCAAAGTTCTCTTTAAATCATCTCAGTGCTTTATAGGGATAAACCTCAGTACACCATCTGCAGGTAAGCAGCATGAGGGAAAAACTGCACAACAGTTTTGGAGAGTGTTTAGCAGGTGTGTTTGTATTTGGTTATTTTAAATATAACAGTGCTCAAATTATTTTTTTTTGTTTGGGTTTGGTTTTGTGGGGGTTTTGGGGTTTTTTTGGTGGTTTTTTTTGTTGTTTGTTTTTTGCTTGTTTGTTTGGGTTTTTTTTTGCTTACTCTTTGTAGAGTTATTGGTTGATTTGCAGTGCTAATTATAGTTTGGGTTTGTTATCCTGGTTAACTTCAATGCTTTAATTACATTGTGGTTCCTGAACCCAAACAAATCCTTTGCCTCATTCCTGACTAGCTGTCAATAGGATGATGGACTTAGATTATATTTTTGATTTTATTTTAAGCATGAAAGCCATGTCTTAAAAGTCACTGAAGTTCAGTCATTTAAACTGGGATATCTCTGAAGGGTCTTGATTTTTAAAAAGTGAAGATCACTCTGAAAATCAGACTTTTGAAGCTTTTTTTTCATATAGGGATGAGGCTTCTCCCTACCACAGCTACCATTGAAAATCATAGTCTGTGTTTTGGGATTTTAGGAGACTGAAATGAGTCTGAATCCAGTTTAATTTGGGGAAGAAAATCTCCAGGCTGCTCACAGATAAAACATCAGTTGAAGCTGAAGAGAATTCCATGCACAGAGATTCACAGGCCTGAGCTTTTTGTGATTATTCTTGCAACTTTGAAGAAACCAAGTAAATATACTTAATGTTTGGGTTAAAAAACTACTGACACATGTTGACATAGCTAGAAAGAAATTCAATAGGAATTGTCACCCCAAATCCTAAGGGATGACTTTAAGTGGAGAGTATATTACGATGGGAATAAGTACTTTAATAGTTTCTCTGAATCCAAGACCACAAATAAACTGTGGAGGAACATATTCTTACGCTATTTCTTCTCTCTGAAGTTGTGAAATCTGCATAGACATTGATTTTTTGGAAAGTCCAGCAATCCTTCAGTAGGTCATTGAGCTTGAATTCTGCAAAGGTACTGAAAGCATGTGTACGTTTCTCCATCCACTTTAAAAATATACCTTTAAAAGGAGGGTGCTGAATTGGCACAATTAACTTTTATTTCCATTTATTGAGACATAAATTCTGTAACCAAAGTGCTAGCTAAAAATAACTCAGAAATGTGCAAAATTGAGCTGTCTCTGCTACTCCTCTTTAACATCAAACTTGGATTATAATTTAAATTATAAATCTCATCACTTGGAAAAGTCCCTTTAAAATTTAGTAAACCTGATTGCATAGAGAAATTTTGCAGCAGGACAAAGGCCAATTTACCAGTCTAAACCTGGCAGAATGACTGTTTGCATTATGCAGATCCCACTTGCTGCAGTTGTTACGTGATCAAAAATTTATCAAACCATATTTGTCGAAAGCTTGAGTATCTTTGACATATCCAGCAAGATTCTGTCCGTGATCATAAGTTATATTGTTGTGATTTGAAAACGGATGTTATGCGATTTCTAATGTTTTCACTCAGATACAGAAAATATTTCTCATGAGCAGTAGAGAAGGCTTTGAATCAAAAATCCAAGAGACTCAGGTATCAGTTGAGTTCTAGATCTAGGCTTCCTATCTGTATATATTTGATCAAAATCATAGATGGAGACTCTGAAATAGTGCAAGTCAACTCTGAATGTTAGTGATCTATTAAGAGAAAACTTCATTCTATGCCAATATTACTTATATCAATGCCAGTTTCTTTCCTATAGATGAAAAGTCAAAACATTCTGATTTGACCTATTTGGGACGATTTTTCAAACAAAAATATTGGTAATTCATTCAACAACAACAACAACAAACCAATAGTGAACAAACAAACAAAAACCAACCAACCAAAGAACCCCAACAAACCAATTAGCGTAGGGCTCAATCTCTCATCCCTCACACATGTTCAAAATATTCCTGTATGTCCAGCAGAAATAGTGAACTTTGGGCCACCATGTCTGTCATGCATCCCAAAGCCTTAAACAAGAGATGGATTGAGCCCCAGTCTTCACGAAAGGGTAAATGAAGCTGCAGTTAAACCAAAGAACATGGTTATTCAAAGGCTGCTGCTGGTGTGTGAGACTCTCCAAAACTCCCTGATAAATGAATGTGAGAGTAGAAATAAGCCGGCCAGAAATACCCAGGGAAGGGATTCTTCCCGCACTGGAAGGACTTTGAGATGGTTGGAGTCTCAAAGCTCTTTCCTGCATGAGCCAGTTCTTCCACAGAACAAGAAATAGTCGTAGAAAGGAGAAGTTTTTGATAAAGACAATGGAGGATGTTTCTGCTCTGTTGCCTCCCCACAGAGGTCTCTGTTCAGAAAATTCTTAAGTGCTGGGCAGGAAAAGCTAAAAACAATTTTTCCTCAGGTCTACCAAGACTTTTTGTCATTGAAAACCAAATTTTAAGTACCTAGCAAGAAGAGATTTCACGGTCTTTAGTTTAAGTGATATTCCAGAAACAGATCCATCAAGACTTTTGCTATTTCATAGTTGCTGCTAAAGGTTATATTTTTATCTGTTGCAGTTTAACCTAGAGCGTTTCAGGACATTTTACAGGTGAAAGTTTAATCAGAGATCACTTACATGGCAGGGAAATACATATATTGCTGGACCAGGCTGTAATTTTCAAGGAAGTATTTAAAAATGGCTGTGGCATTTGCATAATGTCAGGCAAGTATCATAAATCAGTATAGGTCTGCTTCAGTCACTTGTGTTGCCATGAAATACATCTGCTGAGGTACTGGCCTTCCCTTTCATTTCCATTCATAACCCAGCTCAAAGGATAGAAAACAGCATTCTTTCCATATACATGGACGGGATTTAGGGCAAGCCTTTGAATAGCTGCTGTGATCTACCAGGAAGGCTAAGAGTGACTGAATTTCAGTGTCTGTGTATATCCTAAAACTCTACCTTTAAAATGCTGGAAATGAACAAATTTTAATTGTAAGATCCTTTAGAATCTTGGGGGAGGGCAATGGTAAAATGAACAAATTTTACTCGTAAGATCCTTTAAAATCTTGGAGGAGGGCTGGAAATAAATAAATTCTAATTGTGATATCCTTAAGAATCTTGGAGGAGAGCAGCACAAAAAATATACAGTGTACTTTTTGGTGGCTGTTTTTAGGAGAAATGCAACTGGTTACTGGAGAGAGGCTATTTTGTAAAGGTTTATTATATGCTCCCTTTATGATAAATCCTCAGAAGTTTTGATAGAATGGATATCTCTTTTGCCATGCAGTAAACAAGGGCATAGTACAGCACAGTTTATTCTTCCAAGGACTCTCAATCTGTAGTGATAGAGCAGACAACAGTGAGATCAAGGATAAAGAGGTAAAGGGCAAGTTGCAGAACAAACATATGGCTCAGTGGAGACATTACTGGAGTCTTGACAGGACTCAAGAGCAGGGTCTACCCAGTGCTGAGGACAGGTGAAAGCTGCTTTGATGCTGCAGACAGTGTGTGGAGGCAGCACTGTTCCCTCCCCCTGAGTAACATATATAAGATATAACCCACATAAAGCTGAGAGACACGTTAGTTCTTTCCTTAAAGATTTCTCTGACTCTGAAGATGTCTACCTCTGCCTTTTCTCTACTTTTCCAGATGTTGTCACCCCAAATGGCTTGAACATTAAGAAATTTTCAGCAATGCATGAGTTTCAGAATTTGCATTCCATGTACAAGGCTAGGATCCAAGAGTTCATTCGAGGTCATTTCTATGGGTATGCTTTTACTTTTCAAAAATTAGCAACGCTTGTCCAACACTATTTAAAGCAAAAACCAAAGCAGGAGGACTAACAAGTACTTAATAGAGGAGTGGAAATGTTGGAACCACCTTATTCAAATATCTGTCTGGGATTTCTCAGTCAGAAGCTGAGGGAATTTTAGACACCACATCTGACTCTACTTAACAGATTGTGATATCAGACAGCAGATCTTGATCTGTTTGTTATTTATCCAAGTTACAGTTTGTCAGATTAAGATAGTCAATTTAAAGCACAGCAGAAAAGCCTCACTTCCATTTTTCTCTTGGGATAATAAGTTCCTCCAGAATAGAAAGCTGTTGTGTGTTTTGTTTGATTGTATCTCGATAAATACTTTGTTCTTGTCTGTTTTCTTGCTTTCAGCCACCTTGACTTCGATCTTGACAAGACTTTGTTTTTCTTCATTGCTGGGAGATATGAGTTTTCCAACAAAGGAGCTGATATGTTTCTAGAAGCCTTATCAAGATTAAACTTTTTGCTGAGGGTAAGAAAACTTACACAGCTGTTGAAAGCATAGAGCTTATGCTCAAACTGACAATACTGTGGAAGTCATCTGCAAGAATTCCCTTTCAATACTCTGGTTTATAGGAAAGTAATTATGGAATATTCACAGAGGACTCTCTTCCTGAACCATCAGAATATATGATGATTTCAGACAGTTTAAAAATAATTGATTACATAGTTCAAGAAGTTAATCCATGGTTGCCTCCCTGGTTTTTAGAGAGAAGTCATGAAAATAGGATTCTAGAGTTTACCCTGATGGCTTATATATTATGATGGAAATAAAAACAAGTCTTTAAAGCTGCATTTTAAAAAATCTTTTTAAGCAAATTGCTTAATTCATCAGGACTTGATCGTGATCTTTTAATTCTCTGAGTACTGCTGCCCCACTGGATGGGAATGTTGCATTAAAATCCACAGAGTGACAGTGGCCTAGTGCAAAGCAATGGGAAGCCACTCAGTTCTCCATGGTTCTGTTTCCTCAGCTACAAAATGAGTGCAATGTTTCTAAATGCCTTTATGGAGTACTTCAGTGAAGATAAGTGCAAGGCCTTGTTAAAAATCACAGAGCAGAGCCCTCACCTACAATGAGGGTGTTGAAAATCTCTCCAGGTGTGTCTCAAAGACTGGTATATTGAAAATAATACCCAGAAAAAATGCTAATTGGTTTCCAATCATCTGTCAAGGATCAATTAGTTGTAGTCCTACACTATGTCTTTTGCACTCTTATCAGTTGAATTATATGGAAAATATGGATAAAAATTATGATACTGCAGTGTCAGCAGGGATCAAAGAATCACCAGTGTTCAAAGCCCTAAGTACACTTGTTTTACCACAACCTTTACCACAATGGCATTAATATGCCATTTAGAGCCTCTGGATTTTCTGGAAATTTTTAATCCCTTCATGCACACAGATCACCTCACAGAACTGAAGTATTTCTTCCTCAGCAGAAGTTAGTTGTTTGTCAGTGCTGTGCAACATCAGCTGCCTGTTAATGGCATTTACGTGGCTGTTACTTTGTGAATGCTGGTAACATGGAAGGTCTTGTGTGATAAGAGGGAAAGAATTGCTTGAGCAATTATTGCGGCAATCTCTTTTTGTAGCTAATGATTTATATCATTGAACCATAAAATCTTTAAGGTTGGAAAAGGTTTCCAAGATCATGGAGTCTAACCTTTGGCCAATCACCAGTTTTTCAATTAGACCATGGCACTAAGAGCCATGTCCAGTTGTTTATTGAACACTCCACCACCTCGCTGGGCAGCCCCTTCCACTGCCTCATCACCCTTTCTGTGAAGAAATTCTTCCTGATGACATCCATGGCAAACAAGGCTGATGGAAATTAAAGGAAACTGAGGCTAGTTTTCCCAGGCTCTATAAAGCAGTGTACTGTTGCTTCTCCCATAAGTTGAGCCTGGATTTCTTGCATTATTCTTTCAGTTGGTGACATCTGATTAGCTGTTCTAACAACACTTACTCTGTAATTGTTTCAAGAAGTAATTCCATTGGGAGTAGCAGACTGCCTGTACTAATTACAAATCTGGAAATGGTGATACTTCCTAAACAAGTCCCAGTGATGTGCCTGAACCTAAAAAGTACATAACATTGCATGGAATTGTTTTATTTTATGGAGATGTTTTCCTCTGCTGGTTGAAAACCTTACTAAAATTCTGTAAATAAAATAGGGATGTTGAGAGAGTGTTAATGCACACTGGATCGTGCCATGATGGATTTGGAACCTGCTTTGAAGAGAGGGAAGAACATTAATTAACATTAGCAGCATAGATGACTCCCATAGGTTATCTTATACTATACATTTCCCCCTATGTCAGTCTGACAGAAGGCACACTAACAGCATGTTTATGTATCTAAAATTTAAAATGGAGACAAGTCAAAGTAATTTAATTTTTACAGCTCTGAACAGAGTTCACCCTTAGCTTTTCAGTAAACAGTTTCTGAGAGGAGCAAAACTTCATTCATGCAGCAATGAATGGACCTGGTTTTCAGCCTTGTTCATGCACAGGAGAAACTAACAAATGAAACCATCTAGAAATAAAGGGTTAGAATTTACAGCAAGTGCTTTTTGCCTTTGAAGTAGCTGGATGGGAGAGATGAGCAAGAAGTTCCTTGTGGCTTTTTGTGGGTCTGGCAGGTTCTTTGCCAGGGTTTCAGGTAGAAAATGGTTGCTCTCTCTGCCCATGCAGTTGCTGCTGTAGGAAATCACTCATCTCATGCCTAGGCATGCCTCAGCTAGTGCACCAAACACTCACTCCTTTGAGCCAGCACAGTTTGTCTCAGGTGAGGAAGTGTGTAGGACTTGTGTTTTTCTGCAGTTTATGTGCGCATCCAAAGCCGTGTTCTCTAAACCATGAGAGCTCAGGAAGATCTGATTGCCCAGATTGAAGCTGGGTGACATCTCTGTCGATCTCTGAGAAAACTTCATTTGCAGGAAGAGCTACAAGATCTGAACCTTCCTGGAAAACCAAAGTGCATCTGGCATTTCCTGTGACTAATTCTTAAAGTTGGATGTGATAACCATGAGATAATAATAATGAGATTTTTTTTTTTTAAATTCCTCTCCATTTCTTGTCATGTAGGTTCACAAGACTGATGTTACAGTTATTGTGTTCTTCATCATGCCAGCAAAGACCAACAATTTCAATGTGGAAACCTTGAAAGGACAAGCAGTCCGTAAGCAGCTCTGGTAATTGCCATTCCCACCCTGGTGCAGTCTGATGTGGATTCATGCAAAAGTCTCAGCTGAAGAGTTATGCTCCTTCTTTTTGCTAAAACTGAGAATTGTGGGTAACTAGAACGTATGTCAGGGATGAAAGAGATGGGAAAGATAAATAAGGTCAAATATTTCTCCTTTTAGTTTGTTTTCTTTTGTTTGTCCAAAGTTATTTTTAGTTAACTTGCCTTGCTATTCTATTAGAAGGAGCAATAAAGTCAAATGCTCTAGAAAATCCAGTATTCTGGATGTCTTCTGGCTGTTTCTGGTACTCCCTTTGGACGTGCCATACAGCTCCCACAAAATAAAGACTTCTCATTTTTCACAGTGAGCTTCTCTGTGGAAAAAATAAATCAATTACACATCCTGTTTTATTTAGAAATATGGAAATTGCACTGTGTGATCCAGCAGATCAGCAATTGGTAACAATTGTATGTAATTTTCTATATGGACTACAACCTTATGGCAGTGGCCATAACCAAGCAGTGAAACTTACAGTTATGAAGAGAAAATTGTCACAGCCCTACGTATTTTGTAACTTTCCAAACAAAAAAGCAAAGCAGGAGCAGGATTAACCTTCACTTTAACTGCTGTGTGATAGGAAAAGACTGCTTTCAGCTGTTCTCTGTGAAAAACAAAAGACCCTCTGCATCACTGTATGCAGCATTATCATGGTCATAATCTGAACTCCAGGATAAACCCACCTGCTAACAGTATTCCATAATAATATCAAATGATTTTCAGGATGCCACAGAAATTAAAGACAAGAAGAGGTAGGCACTTATAAAGGAATACAGCACTTAACAAATTAATATGTGATGGCTGACTTGAGGTATAAAATCCTTCTTTTCCTCTGCTTCTGAAAAACCAGTCTATCCCATCTGGGTTAAATTATATATATTGTGCATGGCAATCTATGAAGGTATAGTCATGTGGGAACTATCCTGCTGGGGTTTGGATCAGTGTGGCTTAATATTTGGCTGCTTTACAACTCACCCAGAATTAACTCATCCACTCTTCTCTCTGTTGTGAGCTGGGAGGGAGCACCTAAAAACAGGTATGTGGATTCCCAGCTTGGTAAAGTTTAGGATTTCACTTAACAACTTTCATCTTAGCCTAAAGTATAATTAGAAATCAGAAAGGCAGGAAAGGTTCTGTGAAGTGGAACTTTACCCACAGGAGATTTACTCAAATTTAGAGTGCACTTGCTGTTTTGACAACAGGCCACAGGCAGAATAATAAAAGTGACTCTTTGCATGCAGAACAGTGGTTCACTGGGGTTCTTCCTTAGCTAAAATACATTTGTCTGACACAGGCCTCATTAATAGCTTAAAACTTGGCCTGAGCTTTTCAGGAAGTATTTTGTTTTGCAAACTAATTAAGTCAAACTACCTTTTAGTCAAACACTTGTTTCCAAAAGTCTTTGAGTTGGAAAATAGGGCAGAAAGTGAAGGGGGAAGCTTGCTTTGAAAATCCCTATTTGTTTAATTCTTATATCTTGCATCTCTCTTCTAGGTCAAGAGAAGTTGGAAATCCCTCTGTCCATTATTAATGATCACATTACACTATGTAGGGTCATATATATGACTCTTTTTTTCACAGGTGGCATGTGGTTTACTGATCAGTGAAGAGGGTTAGAAGGAATCCCTAGTAAAGCCTGCCTCTGGCTTTCCCAGTGCACTCATCTGTAGGTGCAGGTCAAATCCTCAGGTCTGCTGGATTCCATCAGCACAGCTGCTGGCTGGAGAAAAAAGCTTTTAGAACCAGACCTCTGTCTGCCTTTGCATCCTTGGATATATCAGTTTCCAGCAGTATATCAGTTTAATTTCCAACAGCGGAAATCTCTTTTGTACTGTCTTTGTCCTGGATTCTCCTGTTTTATACATATATTTATTTATCTTCCTAGGGACACTGCACAATCTGTGAAAGAAAAGTTTGGAAGAAAGCTCTACAATGCCTTGCTGAAGTGAGTGAACAGATTGCTTTGCTCTGCCTTGCCGAGCCTCATGTTCAGGTGGCTTTACTTGTGCTGTTTTTGTGCTTCTGCTCTTTGTGTAAGCAATTTTGACAGCCATAGGAGGGCATGGAAGAAAGATATGGGACCATAAACAAGATACTTGTTTAACAGGCGAATCACAGAGTAAAATAATAAAGATACCAGCAGCCTGTGGTGGAAAGAGTCGTAAGAGACACAGGGGATGTGTACGTAACACAAAAGCTTATCCACTGTCAAAAACGAGCTACTTTAGCTTAAAAAAGCACCAGAGACAAAGTAAAATGGGTTAGTGATTCGATCATATCATTTCAGAAGACAGCTGGAAGTGAATAACCCAAAGTACAGGTGAGATGACTGGAACTTCAATAAAAAAAAGCTGTGTCCAAAAAAAAGATGAAACCAATTCTTTGGCCTTTTTTTGAAAGCTAATTGGCAGATCACCAACTATATGGGAGAACACAATATAGGGAATATAGAAGGGCCATGAAAACAAAGAAAAGGTTCACGTTGATATCAGCAAACTTCAGATCAGACCTTGTTGGCCATTTCATCATTTTCTTTACAAAAAGGAAAATGAGTCATTTGGTAAAACTGATTGTGTGTTTCCTTTGCAGAGGAGAAATCCCAGACTTGAACAAGATTCTTGACCGAGATGACATAAGCATTATGAAAAGAGCCATCTTTTCAACTCAGGTCAGAAAATATGTTATTTAGATAAACATCTAATCTGAATAATGAATGTGATGATGTAAAAGGATTGTGTATGTGTAGTGGTTTAGATTTGTTAATTTGAATTTTCTGGTTAATGCATCAAATAATATGGTGGGTTTTAGCGCTGGCTAAAATCACCAAGGTACTTACTCATTTCCCGCTGTGAGATGTGGATTAGGGGAAGGACAAAACAAGCTTAAAACTTTAAAGGAATAAAGAAACTTTATTAACAGGACTACAAGAATAAGAAACCAGAATAAAACCTCCAGAAACCTTTCCTCCCCCTGCCCAACTTTTTCTTTTCTCAACTGACAACATAGAGACAAAACCTGGGATGTTAAAACAGCACCAACTATACAATAATCTTTCATCAGTCCTTGTAGGGAGAGAAATTTTTCTCTTGTTATGTCATGGACACTTTTTCACAAGAAACAGTTTTCTTGTGGCTTTTCAGTTCCACAAATAGCGGTACGTGTGTGTTGGGAAGAAGTTTTCAGCAAATACAATTCTCATCAGTAACATTTAAAATCAGCTCTGATTGTTTTTAGTGAGAGTATGACCCAAACTAATCTTTTGGGGAGTCTATGGATATTCCTTTGGTCACATGCATTCCTAATTATTTTATTCTGAGCTGTGAACTTGTTCATGAGCCTGGATTTTTATAATTTTATTAAATATGTGAAATCAAACTCTAAGGAGATACAACATTGACTAAAAATCTTCAAAATTAAATGATGGGACCTTCTAAATGTTAGTACAAATGAATTTATTTTGATTAAATTAAGCTTATTCACATAAATGACAACGTCTGCCACTGTCTTCCAGTAGCCTTAGGAAATGGCAACAGGACTGTTTGCCAAGAGTTTGCCTGATTTATGGATTGCCTTTTCTGTTTTCAGAGACACTCTCTGCCTCCAGTGACCACCCACAACATGATTGATGACAGCAATGACCCAATCCTCAACACCATCCGGCGCATTGGGCTGTTCAACAACCGCACAGACCGTGTGAAAGTGCGCTCTGGCCTTCTCATTTTAGATACAAAATGGGACTTCTTTGGACATTCTCAGTCTGCATCGTTAGCAAAGGGAGTACAGTTAAAGTCTTGATAGGTGGTATTATACTGCTAGAGTACTTCTTCTCTCTCTGTCTCTTTCCAGGAATAACAACTTCTCACTGCACAGAGATCCTCAGGTGCTGTTTAGCTAAGCTAATTTCAAATTAGAAGTCTGAGGTTAGGGAGTTGTTTTCATTGCTGCCTCCTTCACTGAATGAGGAGCTGCTACTTCTGAAATCAAGAAAGTGCCATGGGTCATTTGCACCCAGATAGAAAACTCTGACATAGATTCACTTGCCTAAAACTGGAGGTCCAAGGTTTGAGCACAGACATTCCTGGAGTATTGATTAATCTCTTAACAGGAATACCCCGATACCCAGCATTTGCTGTGAAAGGTTAACCAGGGCTTTGATCCTGAGTAGAAAGAATTCCTGTTCATGCCGTGCTCATGTTTACATCACCTTTTGAAACTAAATTTATTCAAATAAACCCTTTCCTTACTTCCATGTTTACCTTGTCAAACCACAGAAGTGATCATCTCCTGCTTGCACAGGTCTGCCAAAGTTGTTTTTTTTCTGGCAATCTCTGACATTCTAACTATGACTATCTCAACATCTATCTAGTCAAAGCTGAACCTAAAATTAAAACTCTTCCTCTTCCAAACCTTTTCTTTAAAGCCAGATCCAGGGTATCTCTAACAATGACATATCACTTATTCTCAGTTTCTTTTTAAACCCATGGCTATACCTGAGTAAATATTTTCTTACACTTCCTAGTTGCTTCTTCCTGGCTTAATATATGAACATTAACTCCAATGAATTCTGGGATCATAATATGGTAATAATACATGAGATATAACAAAAGTAGGGGGGAAGGATGCGCTGTGTACAAATGTAGTTAAAAATGCCTCAGAATTAACTGCTTGAAAACATTACAGAAAAGATACAACACAGCAGACATCTGCTTCTCAGCAGATGTCAAGTTGGTAAAAATCTGTCATTACCACTGAAAAATTACTTCCTGCATGAACAAGCTTAATACTTAATGAACTGAATATAATGAAAAAAAAATTCTGTAAACTTCAATTTGAAAGTAGTTTTGAGAGAGGTATAACATATCTAGGCAGACACAGCCGGCATGTGAAAAATACCCTCAATTCCAGTGGAATCACTGGGATCAACTAAGCTTGCAAAATGACTTTACAGCCCATTTACTGTTTGAGTACATTCATTTGTTTACTCAAGTGAGTAGCATAACAATCTTATTAAGAAGGGATAAAAAATTATCCTGGGCATGGAATAATGGCTGTAGTATGTTCATGCAGGGAAATAAACCCAGAGCAGTTTAAACCATTCCCTCATGTTTTTTCCTCATGAAGCTGACTGGGCACTACATACAAGGCACTTCTCAACTAAGCAGTGAATTAAGTTTGGTCTTTGGAGCTGTCTTTCAGCAAGATCAATTGGCCTAGGCACAGGTTTGTGGTGACAGGACTATAATGTGTCTGTTTTCAAAATTGCCTCTGTTCATGGGAGATCTGTCGAGTACAGTGAACGTCCCTTTATTTCAGGGAATGCTGTGCAGTTCAGAAGTGCTGTGTCTGCCTGAGGCCTCCTCCTAATGAGGCATCCCTATAAAATCACAGAATGGTTTGTGTTGGGAGGGATCTTAATATTCCAACCCCTGCCATGGGCAGGGACAGCTTTCACTATCCCAGCTTGCTCAGAGCCACATCTAGCCTGGCCTTGGACACTTCCAGGGATGGGGCAGCCACAGCTTCTCTGGGAAAGTTGTACCAGGGCCTCACCACCCTCACTGGGGAGAATTTCTTCCTGATATCCAATCTAACCCTCCTCTGTGTCAGTGTGAAGCCATTCCCATTGTCCTGTCATTCCAGGCCTTTGTAAATCACCTGTACCTTTGTACAACAGACCAAATCTTGCTAAATGCCACAGTCCTAGGCCTAATTCTCAATGCACATGGGCCACCTTGATGAAGAAGGATAAAGTTAAATATCTGTCCAGTAAAAAAAGGGCTCATTATCAGTACTATTTCCAGGACAAGAATGCACACAGGCAGGATACATTGTAGTGTGAGAAGTGGGGTAGATAACAGATGAATGGTCAAAGGAGGTGTTGTCCAGATACTTAGAAAAAGACTAGGGTGAATAAGTTGCCTAAGCCTTTTTATAAGAGAAATATAGCAATGATGGTTTTCTTTCACCCCTAACACAAGTTTTGAATATCCAGGTGATCCTACATCCAGAGTTTCTTTCTTCAACAAGCCCCTTGCTGCCCTTGGACTATGAGGAGTTTGTTAGAGGCTGCCACCTTGGTGTATTCCCATCTTACTATGAACCCTGGGGCTACACTCCAGGTAGGAATTCTGTACCCTTAACTAACATGGAAAGACGAACACCCATTCTGTTGATGCAGCCAGTTTCTTCTGGAGTGCTGAAAAAGCTCTTTAGACTCTGTTTCCTCTGCCATGCAAAGGTCTTACTGCTGGCAAAATTGTCCCTGCACTGAACTCTTTCCCATGCTAATGTGTAATCTTTTGATTTTCTATGGCTTTAGAAGAAGAAATAGTTTTTAAAACTTAATTCTTGGTTGGAAGATTTTAAAAGAAGGTGTGCAGGAATGTAAATTAAAAAAAAGCAGTGCAAGAAATCTGATGCTGTCAGCTGACAGAGTTCAGTGGATTTAATTCAAGAAAACAAGTTTGAGAGAATTATGTAATACCATAGCTAGGTTATTTAACATAAATACATGAAGTGGTAGTGAATCTCATTGAATTAACTGGAAATTTCTAGAAATGCAGACAGCATATAGATTCTGACTTAAAATATTTTCTTTGTCAATACCCATTTATGTCTCCCAGAAACAAAGACTGCTTTTTTAAGGTGTATTTATAACTGCTTTATAGACACCAGTTTTATTTTCATATGAATGAAGGCCATGTAGATGTCTTTGCACTTTGTTAAGACTAGAGTCTGCATGCTGGTTTAGGTTAGGCTTAGGCTCCTTGGCAAAAACCCTTTAAGGAAGGTAAGCAGTTATCCTTATTCATGGCTGTGACAGCAAAAGCTACAGAAAATGCATACATTTTTTGATTTTATAGAAGTAGCTCCACATCTACTGTGAATACAGTCTGGAGTTAATGATGGGGTTTGTTGTTTTGGGGTGGGCTTTTTATTTTGTTTTGTTGGGGTTTTTTTCTTGCTATAGAGACCTGTTGGCAAGCCATCAAAATCCAGAGTTTGATATACTCCTCCTCCTAAGAGATTCAGTTTTGTAAAGAGTTGTGAACAACTAATGAACATAGGTGTACATTAGGCTCCAATTTAAAATGTAAATAATCCTGTCTATATACTGGGGTGCTCTGTTTCAAAACAGAGCTCCCAGAAAGTTTTCAGTTTACCTGCTCTGAAACTCAAACATGTGTTTGCAAACACAGGGTGAATTTTGTGTTTAAAAATTCTTTCTATATTTTTTTGCCCATAATCCACAATAAAACATTATTATAGTTTTCACTTGACATTTTCAGAGCAGCTGTAGTGTTATGGGACTTTCTGTCTGCCTGTTTTGGTTTATTTTTTGTCTTAAGGTGAAACCATTGCAGGTGTATTTCCCTGAAACCCTTTTTGCCTGTTTCTTTCTGCAGCTGAGTGTACTGTGATGGGCATTCCCAGTGTAACCACAAACCTCTCTGGATTCGGCTGTTTCATGCAGGAACATGTTGCTGACCCAGAAGCTTACGGTGAAAACTTTAACAGCATATCAAAATATCGCCTCTGAGTTAGGAAAGCAAAAAGCACAGCAACCATGCTGTTACTCCTCAATTTTGTATTTCAGAGCTCTGAATATCTTGTTAAGTTGGACAAGTGATTTCAGCTTTCATATTTATCCAAACCCTTTCCATGTTGTTGGTTTATTTTTTTTCGTCTCCCTTTAACCTTTTGTCTGCTGTATCTTTCCAAATTCATCACTGCTCATATCAGTCTTGAGTCTCCCAGCACTTCCCTTTAGTGCCTCTGGCTGCATTATAACACTCTGAGCCTTCCAAAGAAGCAGGGGAAGTCTGCTTCTCCTAATAGTCTGGGACTTCGAGACCAATGACATGACCCTCCCCAAACAAATATTAAATTACCATGTACACTTAAAAATAGCCATGGAAATACAAGGAATCTACTTCAAATAATGATCTGCTCAGGAAGGTTTACAAATGGTTCATGACTGGAATGCCAGTGCCTGCCTGGTATGTCAGGACAATTCTTCCTCTTCAGTCATCCTCTCCCTCAGTAGATCCTCCTTTTAGGGTTGATTGTCCCTGTTTTACAACTGGTGCAGTTGTCACTAAAGCTGTGGCCTCCCTAAGGCACAGAGCAAGGCACAGCCCTCTCTATCCTTTCCTCCTTGCTTAGCCAGGGCTAACAGGATGCCCCATCTCTGGAAGTGTCCCAGGACAGGCTGGATATAGCTCTGAGCAGCCTGGGACAATGGAAGGTGTCCCTGCCCATGGCAGGGTGTTGGAACCTGATGATCTTTAAGGTCCCTTCCAACCCAAACCATTCTATAATTCTGTGGTTCTGTGAATATGTTGAATATGTTCCCAAACTAGGGCCTTTTTCCAAGTACCTGGGCTTGTTTCCACAATAAGGCATTGACAGCCCACACTGGTGCTGTCTTTGCCCAATGTAGGGGCAAGGGTTACAAAATATAGATACACCTTCCTGGGTGGACATGTCTTTGAGATCCTTCAGAAAAACCACACAACACTGGTCACTTGCTTTTCTCTGCCAAAGCACAGATGTGATTTGACATAAATTACTGTGCTGTCCCCAGACACTTCATTAAGGTAGTTTTGCATCTGTCATGTCCATTAAGAGATCTACAAGGTCTGGTTCCCTCTTCTTCCCCAACACCCTGGTCTAAGGAAGGTGGCAAAAATAAACTATTGATCTCAACAATGTAGAGGCAAAGTCTACCTCTGCCCTCTCTGTGCCAGAATTGTCTGTTGAATGATGTATATGAGTTAGCTGTCTCTATGGAAACACTTTTATTTCTACAGAAAACACAGCCTCTCCCCTACAGCCTGATTCTGTCCATCCACACTTGTGAATTCTACAGCAAAAGCACTAGATTATGTTTTCTTTAAGAAGCCAGTATTTTAAGAATTATAGGAGATAAAAATGATATGTCTTTATCCAGAAACTCTAACTCTTTTGGACATACTTACAGAGCAACAACAAAGCCTCTGAGTTTTGAACAAGTTGCTGAAATTCAGCCTGAAAAGTAAAGAAAATTAAAGTTTAAAAAATTGCATATTCCTCTGCATCTCTCTGTTCCATTGGAGTGGCAGCAAATGTTCCAGTTGTAGCTGCCTTTTAACATTATAAAGTATATACTGCATGTAACATTTGTAAGGCTACATGACATAGATTGGAAGTGTAGAAGGTCGGATCCCATCTCCAATCCCACTCTCCTTGGCCTTTCGTTTGTCCCTCAGGGATCTACATCGTGGACAGGAGGTTCCGCTCGCCGGACGAGTCGTGCAACCAGCTGACCCAGTTCCTGTACGGGTTCTGCCAGCAGAACCGGCGCCAGAGGATCATCCAGAGGAACCGCACTGAGCGCCTCTCGGACCTCCTGGACTGGAAATACCTGGGCAGGGTGTGTGGCATAGAGGCATTAACAATTCCAGGCTCATAGGCCTAGCCAGAGCCTTCAGCATGGTGCTGCGATGACACAGCCCTCTGCTGAAATTCCCCACTCAAAGGGGCTAAAGGCAGAGCCTGCACATTTCGGTGTAATCCTTCCATGCTCCAGTGGCAAGGAGAGACTGAGTAGGTTAGAGCAGAATCCAGTCACACCACTGAGCTCTGTCTGGTGCTAAACACAGTGTTAAAACCTGGTGTTGCTGGCAAGCCTACACTAAGGAGGATTTGTGTTCCAAAGTCATCTGAACACTTCCAAAAATCCTTCCGATCCTTCTTGAAAAGTTGCTGAGCCCTGTGGTTCCTCAACACTCTTTAACTATCTCTATGCTTTAAATGCAAGGTAGCGGTTTTAATTTAACACAGAGAGCACTACAGTACCACCTACTAAGAAGACAGTAGCAAGGTATTGTTCTCAAGTCTGCAACACTAAATAAGTGGATGCACATAAATCAGTTTTATAACTATTTTGGACCTTTTCCTCCTCTGATACCTGTGTGAGAACCTTAGTATTTATATGGTTCCCAACACTTCATAAGATATAACAAGCTGGTTTTTTCCTGCATGTGCTGCAAACTCAGGAATACAGTGGATCTAAAAATTTTTTAGTCAAATTCTTAAATACCAAGCATAAGTGAACTCATAAATATTACTTCTCTGTCACTGTTACACATACTTCTGTGCAGTCCAAAGTGACTTTGAATGAGTATAAAACTTAAGTGTAATACATATGTACTTAAAGATATAAATTTTCCTCGTTAAAAAAACCCCAGTTCTTTCCTGAGGGATAAAGAATACCTGTCTCTCAATAGGAACTACACTGAACAAGTCCTAGTTTCCACCTTAATACATCTTCAGGCACCTTATTCAGCATCTGTTCCAGACTTTATTGGTGTGAATCTGTCATGAATGTCTTGTCACTTCACAGTAAAAGCAGTGATATCAGCTGGATTTTGCTTATCTGAAAACACTTTAGCCTTTGTTTAGCCATCTTTTAGAAGAAACTAATTTCATTTTCCTTTCCCCCCTTGCTTAAATCTAATCTCTTGATTAGAAATCAAGATTTCTAATAGCTTGTAATACCTTCTCTGTTTTTTTGCAGTATTACATGCATGCCAGACACTTGGCCCTCAGCAGAACGTTCCCAGATAAATTTGAGATGGAACCAAGTGCTCCACCAAAGGTAAAGTCTGCTTTTGGGGATGAGTTCATTTTAACTGCTTTACAAGGAAAGAGAAGAAGAGTGTGAGGGAGAAGAGAGTTGGCAAGTTTGTGTTTAAGTAAAGGGAAGTAGGAACTCCTAATTAAAAGCTTAACAAGTTATAGACCCAGTCTCCAGTCAGGAATGTGCTTTTTTTTTGACAATTTTCCTCACAGTAGCTGGGCTGTGTTTTGGATTCGTGCTGAAAGCAGTGCTCATGACACAGGGATGGTTTAGCTCTTGCTGAGCAGGGATTGCACAGAGCCAAGAACTTTCCTGCTCCTTACTCATCCCACCAGCAAGGGGCTGGGGGTGCACAGGGAGTTGGGAGGGGACACAGCCAGGACAGCTGACCCCAACTGACCAAAGATACATTGCAGACCTTATTGGTGTTATGCTCAGTATATAAAGCTGCAGGAAGAAGGAGGAAAGGGGGATATTCAGAGTGCTGGCGTTTGTCTTTTCAAGTAAAGATTACCAGTGATGGGGCCCCGCTCTTCTGGGGATGGCTGAACACCTGCTTGCCCATGGGAATGAATTCCTGGATTTGCTTTGCTTGTGTGCACAGCTTTTCCTTTCCCTACTAAACTGTCTTAATCTAACCCATGAGCTTTCCCACTTTCCCCCTTTTGATTCTCTCCTCATCCCCTCCAGGAGGGAGTGAGCTGAGGCTGTGTGAGGCTCAGTTGCTGACTGGGGTTAAACCACAACCTATGGGTATCAGATCCAAACACGGGGGTTACCAGGTGTGGCACAGGAACAGGTTTTCAGATGATCTAGACTGAGCTGGATGGAACTATGCCACTTTGGACCAGCTGAGGAACTGGCCCTAGAAATTCCCTTTGGAAGAGTGGCAGCTTCTAATTTTTGCTTCTTCTAAATGCCATGGAGATGTTCTGCACCAACCAAATAGAGGGAAGTTGTGAAAGGATGTTCTAGGGAAAGCAAGGCAAGGTATTGCGTTCATCTGAACATGGTACATTGGCTGGAGCTGCAAGGGATCACTTTAAAGGCACACCTTCAAACAGTTCTTGCCTAGTCCAGATTAGCAGCAATTTGAGAAGAGAGGCTGCTCAGAACAATTACTTGAAACTGAACCTCCAAAGAGCAACTCCTTTTGTTTTTTTAGTAAGGAGAGAGAGGTTCAGACCAAAACCCCTTGCTGGGTTCTACTCTTGCAGATACTGACATTATAACCAGAAAATGGTTTTGAATGTTCAGATTGAAGCCTGAATTTCAGTAAGCAGAAATACAGAAGGATTTTGTGTTGTGCTGATTGTTTTAAGGCTCAGTAAAGATAGCCATGTTTTGCAAAAAGCGATGCTGGAAGGGCAGGATGTTGTTTACGGCACAGGGTAAACATCTCTGTCACACCAGCATGTACTTAGTGGCAGAGGATTGATGGGATCTGGGTTGAGGGAACCTCAATTTTAGAGTGCAGGGTAGCTCTAGCTTACATCTGACCACTGGCTTCCTCTGAAGTGATGATAGCCTTAAATTGCTGAATAAAACCCAGCTGAGGAACTCAGTTAATACATCCATCTTGCCTGTCTCTCTGCCAGACGGAAGGTTTCAGGTTCCCCAGGCCTTCATCAGTGCCACCATCACCCTCTGCCTCCCAGCATTCTAGCCCCCACCACAGTGAAGCCGAGGACGAAGATGAGGATGAGAGATACGACGAGGATGAGGAAGCTGAAAGGGACAGGCAGAACATCAAGTCCCCCTTTTCCCTTGGAGCCTTGCCACAAGGAAAAAAGAAGCAGCATGGAGAATACAGGAACTGAAATCATTGCTCTCATCCTGGCATTGCTCCCCATCCACTCAACAGTTTCTCCTGTAGGCTTGGCAAGCTTTGTGTTAAGGACAGTGTGATTTAATTAGGGGAACCATAAATGTTACTTGAGCTACACTCTTGGAAAGCCTAATATTATTTCACTTTGAAAGTAGTTTAAATGACAATTTTTCTGTGCCCCTTTGAGGTAGAAAAGATTTTTCAGTCTTAATAAAACTAGAGAATGAGACAATCCTCTGAGGAGCTTACACAAACTGCAGATCATACCTTTATCTATGGAATCACCTGTATTAATCATAGTCTACACAAATAGCTACATCTTGGGTATCCCAAAGGAATTCCTGCTTCATTTATGTTCCCCTTCTCCCCTCCTAAATGAACATGAACATTACACCAGAGCTCAAAATATTAGAGAAAAGAAAGTGTTACACTGGAGAAATACTGGAAGAGTTAAAAAAGATACACTGAAAATAAAATGGTCTTTCTTTTTCCTGATGCTGTTTATTGTAAGCTTACATAATTTAAAACACTTTTTTACAGCACACAGAAGTTTCTTGATCCAGTGGTAAAACATGCATCCTGTGGAACAATATAAAAAGTCTTATGTAGTGGGCATTTGAATTTTAGAGATAAATAAAGTCATCTTTCTGAGGTCATTTAGACCCACAATAAACAGCAGACTGTTTATTTTCTGATTCCTCTGGTATGTCTCTTTTATTTTCATCTTGTTGTAGATTCTAAGTTTGTTAACAAACTGGTTTGGGAGGAAATTAATGTAACTTAGCTAAAGTGAATGGCAAAATTTCCTTGAGTACCACCTTCCCCTGCAGACAAGAAGTCACAGACCAATGTGACAGCATTCAAGGATAAATAATTTCTATTAGCCCATGCTCTATTTCTCTTCTAGAAGGGACCTAATCCTAACAAATAATGCTGAAAAATTTTCAGATATCATTTTGAAATGCAGCTGAGACTTCAAAGTTCTTGGGGAATAACTGATCCTCACAAGAAGAGCTAAACATTTCATTTGCCTTACAGAAAGCTTTTACAAGTATTTCAGCTCCTAGAGATGCAGAGATTTCCTGAACAGGCTCTTCAGAAGCACATAATGTCTTGATATGAAGATATTAGAAAGGAGATCAATCTCGTTTTTCACGTTTGCACATCCAGGACTTTGTTCAGCATGTCCTTCAGCAGGTAGGACAATGTAAGATTTGGAGGTATTTACCTTTCCTGTCAATCCCAGGGGGAGCTTAGATGTCCAACTTTGGTTAGGCTCCTACCTTTCAAACACTTAACCAATGCTTGATGACATGGTTCAGACTACAGGCCATTTAGGATGAAAAGTGACAATGTGCCTATTTGTATTTTTGGCCACCTACCTAAAGTCAGTTTTAAAACTGGACTTTCATTCTTGAGCTAATTCAGATACTTGAAAGAATATTCTCAGAAGTCAGGTTCCAGTTTTTATGGTAAAAACTTATTTGGAATTAACAGGAGTCACTATTTCTTTAGCCATTTAAAAGGTAATTAAACACTGAGTAGTTTGTCATATAAAAGTGGTGAAAGCAAAGATACTGCAAATATTTTCCTTCACACAGTTTACTACATGGAGAACAACTGCATTTTGTGTTTCTTCCACAAAGTGCTCCTAATGAGAGCTCCCTTACAGAGTCAAAAGATGTAATGGCTGAGAGTCCCAAAGAAATACCATATAAGAGGCATATTGATTGAAAGTTGATGTTTTTATAAATAAATCGAGAAATCTGTATTTATTGCATGTATTTCAAAACTGTCTTGTAAAGCAGAAAAGCTGTGTGTGTTTCAGCACGCTTACATGCTTTGAGCACCCTCCTGGTCTTAGAAAATGCACAGCTTTTGAGATAGGACTAATCTGAATTCTCAGATTCAGGTCCTGCAGTGGCCAAAGCTACCTCTGCCCCGCGCCCTGGGCTCGTGTTAGTTTTGCCTTGATTCCAGGATTAACAGTTACTAACAAGGCAATTCATCTACAGCAAAACACTTCTGTATGTTGAATTTATAGCACCGTGGGAACGGCTTCTCATTCAGCCACAGCAACAGATTGCCTAAATTAAATGCCATACATTCCCAACAGCTACTGACACCTGACAAACTTGGTAGCAGCTCCCTGTTACATAAGGTATTGTCTTCCAGATGGAAGTTACTGGGGTTTCACATACAGCTCACCAGCAAGGCAGAAGGTTTATTCTGTTTCATCATATTCGTGAGGAATTGTTTAAGCTTGAGACCTTAAATCAGGAACATGCACAAAAAGCTGTCAGCTAGGAATAGGCTGAGTACAGTTTCTGTATCACTGGGACGGGCAGGGGCATATAAATTTCAAGACATTGATAAACCAAAATATGTATAACCCCTCTAACTTTTCAGTTTTCTAGTGGAAGGTGCCCCAGCTCATGGCAGGGCATTTGGAACTTGATGATCTTCTAGGTCCCTTCCAAACTAGGCCATTCTAGGACTATGTTCTCTGACTCTATACTATTTTCTGTCTGAGCATGGACTGATGATCCTGTAAAACATACTGGAAAATCACTTAGATGCACCTGAGATATTCCAAATATGTTCAAGACAAAGGACAACTAAATTAGGGAAAGGGTTCTGGTGGATTCCACGGGCCTTGAGGTGAAGTTCATCATGGATGTGTTCTGTCATACAACAAACACTGCCACTGGAAGATAAAGTAGTGCTTAAAAGTGAACAGAGCAGGACACTTCGATTTCACCTGCTATGTTCCTCCATGAAGTGATAAAGATTATAAAAAATTACTGAAAGTGCCTCTAACCCCATGAAACAAATTAATTCCTCTGTTCCTTCAGCTGTGTTTCTTTGGGTTGAGGAGAAGCAACATCATAGTTTAATTAGCAGTGTTATGAGAAAGATCAGGGGAATTTAACATTAAAAGATGAAGAGTGTGATTAGGGTAGAAAGTTAAAAAAATGAAACAGTTGCTTGGACAGAGAAATCATGTGGCTACTCTTTAATTACATTAGAATTACAGAGGGCTTTCCAGTAAGACCACAGAACTACATAAATAATACATCCTTATCAGCACAGAATGATAATTAATAGATTTATGCATAATTCCAGTTTTACAACTCAGAAGGAAAGAGCAAAAAAATACAATCACAATGCAGTCATTAATGAGGCCCTGATAATGCAAGACCTGTCCCCAAACTGTCTTTATGTGCTGGGACTTTCTCAGTAGGACCATTCAGAGTATTTCTGTGGGAGTGAACTGGGGCAAAAAGTGCTGCTGCCTATTCTCTGTGCTGACTGATGTCTGCCAAACAAACAAACAAAAAACAAAAAAATCACCAGCTTTGCAGTCACAGATAGCTGGAATATTTTCATATATCTCTGAATTTATTGACCATCAGCAGTCTACAGGGCCACCAGTGAAGTAGTAATGGAACCTGTCTTTATCAGAGTTAAAAAAGCTTCAATATTGAGTGAGTGGAAGGTGGTAAAAAGTTTCCCAATGACAATTGAAAAAACTTTCTAATGAAGTGGTTGTCCAAAAAGATTGTTTTAATCATCTTTTCATGTGAGATGGTACCATGTATTTTAATTTTTGGATGGGACATACAGAATGCTCTAAAGAAAGCAGGAACTTTACAGACACTTTCTTCATCTGAACCAGTACCTTTTAATCTGTTTGCATTCAAAATTTTGCACTGTGAAAACACCTTATTCTTTGGAAAATCCAGTGAGAATGGATGAAACACTCTACTTACACAAGTTATGCTTTCAGGCTCAAAGCTGTACAGATGTTAAAGATGTTTTCAGTAATTTCACCAATTTGATAGATTGTCTGCCAGGTAGCCAGGGTGATCACCATTTTCCTCTTCCACTGTAAGACAAGACACAATGGGCAGAAATAAGTTGTAGCTGAAGGAAAGTTCAGCCAGCCAAAGTTTTCAGCTTTCAGATATGCCTTAGGCATAGATCTAGTGCAGCGTGACTGCTCAGCTAAGAGAGGCAGCATCTCTGAAAACAATCATGTCTTCTCACATTTTATAATGTAGGAATTTTTGTTTGCTGAAGAACAAAAATATCAAACCATGTCCAGAGGGGAAAGTTATCACATGCCAAAAAAATTTCATGTTGAAGAAAATAATGAATTTGTTCTTCATTTGTGCATTGCCCTCAGTTAAGTCCAAAATCAGCTGATGTGAAAGTGCATGGCTTACCCAAGTTTGACTGGTTATCTCCTACCACAGTGATGGAAATGTTATTCCACACAGTTTTTTTCAAACAAGCTGCCAGTTCTTCTTATCTCTCTCAGATATTTCACCCTTTTTTCTCAGTTGCTGTCCATCTCCCCTGCTACAGGAACGCAGGCAGGAAGATACCAGTAAAATTTGTAAAAATCCACCTTCAGAGGATTTTGTGGGCATACAAATGACACTTTCACTGATTTAACATTAGAAGTACTAATATATTTTGTCCAAAGCACTGTGCTTATTTTTAAATCTGCCTTTCTCCAAAATGCCACTGATTTTTTTTTTTTTTTTTTTTTTGTTCAGAGTTCTGCCAGGCAGGGAAGAGAGGGCTGAGCACAGAGCCCCCAGCTCCATTTCAAAAAAAAAAAAAAAAAAGAAAAAAGAAAAAAATGTCTGTAGTAACTGAAGAGGTGAGTCATTTAACGACAGAGGAATGGAGGAATGGACAGCAAAGGTTCAGAGTCTCAGTCTGGTGATGCAAAATCAACAGCTCCTCTCCTGAGGTTTTTATGGATTCTTTTAAACTTTTGCACCAAGTCCAGTGGAGGAATAAAATTTTCATAAGTAAACAATATTCTATAGAAGAAGTAACCCCAGTAACAATTTGGGTTGGAAAAATCAATTAAAAATAGCCATTCCCTTGAATCCAAACCAGTAAAACATCTGAAGAGAAAATTAAAAGCAGAATATACAAATATTTACCTGCTATCATTATGTGGCTCATGTTGTAATCTGTGTAAATGTTCACTTCAATAAAGGGCACTCTGTTGAACAGTATCTCAGTTCAAAACAGATCTTTTAGATTAATTTGCTAAATTGCTAGTAAATGAAATACTGAAAAACCACTTCAAAAAAATCAGTAAGACTAAACGTGCATTTACCTTCTTGTGCTTTCTGTAAGGAACTAATGAACACTGCAGTAGCTTCAGAAAGAGATAAAGGATTTGTTTTATGGCTGCGTGTTTCTAGAATGAAAAATTCAGAGATGCATGGGTTGATAGTGTCTTATGGCATTTCTTTACTTTGTTCTTTGCTTTTTTATTATTTCTATAACTAGAGACTCAAAGACAAGAAAATATTGTCTCCTCCACTCTGTAACATTGTAACAGCCTGATAATTAACACAGGAGAGATCAGCAATCTTTTTAAAAGGGAGGTTATTTCAAAGTCCCTCAGAAGGTAAACAGAACATTTTCCTTTTTTGTAAGTTCCTAACTTTATTTATGACATTCTGTTCCCTCCAGAAACAGTGCCTATTGTGGATTGATGTTTTCTGCTTCTGTTATTTGTCGCTCCAGCACAATTAATAGCTTGATTTGTTGGGTTTTTTTCCAGTGCAAGAAGTCAAAAGCACTGATGAAAATCCCACTTAGCAGCTAGGTCAGTCTGGAAATTATGTAAATGAAATCACACAGGTGCACCAGAGAGGAAAGTCAGACTTTGTCATGTGCTGGTTGGAATGAAGGGACTAAATAAAGGGGGTTTAGTTTCCTTGGCTGTGATTCCAGGAAAGCAAATCCCCTCCCATTTCCAGGGATTTCTCCCATAACCTGGGGAAGGTGGATGGGCTCCACAGCCCTGTGATGATGGACTCACCAAGCTGCACTCTGTCATACAGGTCCTTCCTCTGGCTCTCATCTGCAATGAAGCGACGTCCCTCTACAAAAGCAGTGGGAGAAGGGTGAAAACCACCCCCAAATTTGTTGTAATTCCTACTTCATAATCCCTAAAAGACTCTTTTCAATTTAGTATATGGTCAAGAGCCTTCAATACCTTTGCTGGACTGTAAAGTATTGCTTTTTAAATTGTATTTCTCTTTAAAAAAAGAAAAAACCCCACCCCAAATCCCAGACTAACAAAATAAAATCACATTGTTTCCTGTTCATCAATAAAAATGATAAAAAGGTCACTAGGGAAGTAACACAATTCATTATTCAATTGGAAGAATTTTTTAAAATAGCAGAAAGGGTAAAAATCTTCACTTTTATGACTAGAAATAATCGTATTAATGTCACTAGAACTTTCAATTATATGTACAGTTGTTTGGAGCTTATATTTATTTTGTGTTGTAATTTATATTGTCTTTCTTTTGTATTTCTTTCAGGATTATGACCTCTTTTCTCTAATTTACAGGAAGTTTTTTTCTTTCCTCCCTTAATACCTGTCCTCCCTGATATCTTTTAATTTTAAATTAACAATTCAGAATACATTTGGATTCTGAATCCAAATAAATTAGATGATTTTGGATTGAAGGACAAAATAACTAAGTACAGAATCAGAGAATATTCTGAGTGGGAAGGACCCAAAAGCACCATTGAGTCCAACTTTGAAGTGAATGGCCTGTACAGGGACCAAAGGTGTGACCATGACATAATTAGCACCATGCAATTAGCATATCCTCCCTGCAAGCCTCAAAACTTCTACACCCACAGCATCCTCAGGATCTCCTGCTTGTGTGGAGCCAAAGAGTAACCCAGGGGTGGAGAAAACGGATCTCAAAATGGAAAGAGCTTGGGACTCACGTGCACCCTTCAAATAGAGCATGGCCTGAGGAGTCCAGTTTCTCCTTTGGAAATGAGCCTTTATATAAAATAAAATAAAAAAATAAAATAAAATAAAATAAAATAAAATAAAATAAAATAAAATAAAATAAAATAAAATAAAATAAAATAAAATAAAATAAAATAAAATAAAATAAAATAAAACATGTCAGCATTCCAGCATTCCATGCCTTTGCTAATTTGTGCAAATACTAAACAGCACCAAGCTCCGAGCTTCACGAGCTCCAGCCTGAGCTCACCTGAGGAGCACTCCAGGAGAAGGTGACGAAGGAAGCTGCCAGGATCAGGGCCAGGGCAGATGCTGTGAGTTTATGCAGCTCCTGTGCATAACAGAGAACCAGAAGTTGCAGGAAAAGTCTTTCACATCTGCACATCCTCCCAGCTTCACATCTAAATGTGAGGGTGTTCCCAGCTCCTGCCTTGTCCCTGTTTTGCTGCCAAACCTCTTCTTGCTCAGGGGGTGTTTCCGTGCACACTGATCTGATCAGAGGATTAATGTTAAATAGAACTTCATTGTTTTTACTTAAATCCATTCCATCCTGGTGAGAACTGCCATCCAGGCAAGCACCTTTTGTGCTCCTATTTACAAGGACATCAGATCCTCCAGAAATGACAAACTAATGAGTAAAGATAAATTATTATTATGAGTAAAGATAGATTATAAAATCTATCTTGATTTTACCAAACCAAAGACAACAAGGAAATGTAGGAGGCTTGTCGTTCCAAATAAGCAAACCAACCAAGAGACAAAATCTCTACTTCCTCAGGTTAAAAAATAAAGGAAAAAATATTTTAAATTTAGCATCCTATCAATACCAACCATGATTAACAAAAGTCACAAGACAGTTTTTTTTCAGCTTTTGGAGTTTGTTCACTGATGCAGCACATGCAAAAGGAAGCATTGAGCATGAATCCTCTGTGCACAAGTTGCACCTTTGCCTGTTTACATAAACCATGTTGTTATTCATGTATTGATAACAGTGATGGGCACGAGAGCACCTAACTTCATGTTTCACAGTGGTTCATTTCCTCCTGGGTTTGAGAGGCTGTGCTGTCGGTGGTTTTTTAATGCAGTTGGTTAAAATGCACATAATATATCTAGGTGTATATTTCTTTCAGATTATTTTTAAGGAAAATTTCTTAAGCCCTCCTGCAGTTCCTAAATATTGCACTCACATGAAAAAGAAGCATTAATTGCAAAACTAAATGTTAGCTACACACCGATAAATTCTCACCTTCATATTTATCTCAGTGACAAACCTTCAGTCTTCTTTCCTTGGGATGATGTGTCACCAGATCTCCTTCCTACATGTCCAGGGGTCCCTTTTTAAATCTTTGGAGTGGAGGTGCCCTCCCCTTCCGTGGCGGGGCGAAGGAGTCTGAAGGGATCTCTTGTCAGCCCTGTAGATGGAGAAGCAGAAGGTCTGATGACTCCTGAGGGAAACCTGCAGCCTTGCAGGAAGTCATGATTGAAATGATTGAAAGATGGATGCTCTTGGAGATGCACCCCATTAACCAGGTGAACACCTCCTGAATACATCAGCATCAGCCCTGTGTGTTTGCAATGCATCACCTTCCTGCTGGATGATCAATAATCACAGCCAGAGTGGGTATTAATACAGAAGGTGAGAGTTTACCCAGGATAATCTACAATACATCAGATTAGTATCCATTGTGGGAGCTGGAAAAGCTGGTAAATTACTCACCAGCATCAAGAAAAAAGCGACTTACACAGTGTTACAGGCTGAGGTTATTCCTTGCATACATTCAGAGGATGTAATCTATGGTTTGATTCCCTAATGATCTTTTGCATCTAGTTTTCTTACGCACAAGTAAAAGTACAAAGTTCAACAACGACAACAAAAGACCAAAAATTCCCAATAAACCTAATAGTCAGAAACACTTTTCTGTGTCATGGATTGGCTGGAGTAAAAGCCCAGATCAGGGCTTGAATAGGTCAAACAGTGAACAGAAAAAAGGAAGGGATTAGGGAAGTCATACTTCTGGGTGATTGCTGAGCTCACTGCAGTCATGGAGAGTGGGTTTGGTCCTCAGGCAAAGAGTTAATCACACTTGATGCCTGGCCTTGCTTTCTCTGTAGCCAGGGTTTTCATCTCTCCTCCTGCACTTTTTCCTTTGTAAACTTGATGGAAGCAGAAGGAGAAGCAAAGCAAACAGGGAGGTAGAAATTTGCTGATTAGAAGATTGACCAGTGGAAATTTTACTGCAGCAGCCTCACGAACAGGGCCAGCCCATGATGTGACAAAAATCCAGCTCAGGCCATGCGTGTGACAAGCACTGGCTCAAGGATGTGCAGTCCAAGGATGAATGTGCAGAGAGGCACTGCTGCTGCTCACTCTGAGCTCCTCCCTGGTGTTGTGTGTCTGTGGACACTGCTCCATAGCACATTATTAAGTGAAGGTGCAGTTGCTGTCCAGCTTTTGGGTGGTATCACCCTGTTCCCTGCCACACAGAATTGCTCACTGAATGTACAGAATTGCCATCATCTGCAGCCTGTGCAGGTGTAGAGGAAAGAAACCAGAGCGAAGTTCAGGTTTTGGTCTCAAGCAGCTCCCGTGGTGGCTGGGAACTGCTGTTAGAGCTCTATCTTTTTTAAAAGGCCATGCCCTGATGCATCTTAGCCAGCAGAAGGGGTTCTATGTGCATCTACTTCCCTGTGAAGTTTATTTTCCCTGCTCTTTTCCCTGTGCTCTGACAGATCAGAGACATTTCTTGATGCTGCTTAACCCTTAGCCTTAGAAGGGGGCTGTACATTTCATCCAGGAGACATTTAACATGCAGAGGCTTGGAAAAGGTAAAGCTACTCCCCTATTCTCGTCTGGAGTGACTTTAGATCTTCCTGTTATGCACAGACCACAGGGTTGGAATCAAAACATTCAACTGAGCCTGTGAAAATTAACCCCCTGCCTTTGGGATTGGGCAGTGTGAAGTATCTCTTCAGGATGGTTCTCCTTGTAGTATGAAAACTAGAATGTGTCTGGCACTGAAAATAAATCCTGATTTTCCTGCCACTGGAATGAGACAAGATAACACAAAAGAAATAGGGGGGACAACCAGCTCAGCCCCTCCTGTTGCATCTGGGGAGGAGGAGAATGGGAGGCGTGGAGAAAGATGTTACCACACTGTAGGAAAACAGCTTTAGGTTTTCTTGTCTTTTGACCATTTTGCAAAATCTGAGTGACTCTGACGTGGTGTTGCTGGAGTCTGTCTTTCTTCCAAACCTGGCTGTATTCTGAGTCCCACTGGAATCCTTTTAGAGACTGGGGCTTGTTTGAGGCTGCCTGGAGAGCAGCAGGGAGCTGAACTGAGCAGAGCAAAATCTGAACTGCCTTGCTGTGGGGACAGGAGAACACCAGTTCAAGAAAAAAAGCAGGATCTTGAGAGCATCATCTTAAAGTAAATTGTTTTATTGCTATACCATCAGATGCCTCAGTGCCACCAGGGTGTCTAAAAGTCAGGAGTTTAACTACAACTTGTAGCAAGAGAGAGCTGACCTTGACCTTTCACATCAGGTGAAATGAACCCAATCTCAAATTGCATTTCCATGATGGTTTGGGGCTTTTTCTGAGTTTTTTTAATTTTCAAAATGTTTTAATTTTTCCCTTAAATTGTCTGTGCCTTTGTGACTCATAGCTCTAAATCAATTTATTTTTACTATGAGCAGTGACTCCAAGTTGCTTCGGTTTTCAAACAGAAGTGTATTTCAGAACCTTGGAAATCTCCTTGGAAATCTGTAAGGAGTCTGCATGCAGAACAAAGAACTCCAGGTTTGTCAATTCTACTTCAGGGATTAAAATTTAAAAGACTCAGCTTCTCCCTTCAAAGCTTTTTCTTGCCATGTTTTTATGAGAAGGTGGCCATCTCACCCTTGCCAGAAATCCAACCACTGCTAGGATGGTGTGTGGGACACAGTTTATTTGTAAACAGGGACAAGAGGCAATGTTTTGGGAAGGCAGTGCAGGTACTGAGAGTGTTTGCATTCACGAAAGAACTGCGGCTGTGTGTGGGCACATGTGAGCTGGTACTCTTGAAAAATGCAGCAGCCTATAATTGGGTTATGGATCATAACACACTAAAAAACTGTGGCACTTCAGGAGGATGAGCTGTGCACCAAGCACTCATTGTCAGTGCTGCCATTTCTCATCTGATTCACCTGGAGGAGGAAGTGGCTCTGGCATGAAATCAATACCCTGAGTGAGAAAAGTAGAGGGAAGCTTGCCATAGCAGCAGGACCCCTTATTAGAAAGAACATAACCTATTCTTATTCTTCGAGATGATCTAAAGGGCACAGCCTGCATATCCTGACACTGTAAGCGATAAAAAGCTAATTTCTGGTATTGCAGTTCAGTGCTGAGGTGAGGGGAAAATGTTCTTGCGTGCTGGAGTTTGAACCAGTGGCGTCAAACTTAACTCACTGACTTGCATCATGACCACCATGCACTTTCCCAAATATTTTCCTGGAAATATAGGATACAGTCATTGTGCCCCTGTATTTTTTACTGCTGGTAAGGACACCAGTGATCCATGGCTTGCTCCTGAGAAAAAAAGTGCAGCTCTCGTGTGTGTAGGTGGTCAGTGGGTACATCAGCAAACACTGGTGCTGTCAAGGTATAAATCTCCCAGAACTTATGACCTTTGCTTTGTGCTTATTCTCATTGCCTTTGGGTTTTTTTTTTTCCCCCCTGTTAGTCTGATAACTCTCTGGGAAATACATCCCATTTCTGTCTGGCACCTGAGCAGCACACGGTACCTGAGCAGCACAGTGTACTTCTGGCTCCTACATGCTACTGTAGCATCATAAAAGGCTGTGAAATGTCATGGCAGAGCCTGCAAAGTAGGAAATTACAAAGCATTTTGCATTTCATTTGCAGTAAGTTGCATAGTAAGGCAAGCTTTCGACCAGTAGCAAAGTCAAATGTAGTTTGCCCTGGAAGGATGTTGATTTGTTATCACTGAGAAACTCAGAGAATAGATTAGACAATCCTTTTTTAGGACTCATTCCCCAACTGATCCTGCCCAAACACGATTGAACCATATGACCTCTTAATATCTTCTTTTTGGGCTGCTTTTTTGTGTTTCTGTGATCTTTCAAAGCTGACTCTGGACTTTAACCCCATATATCCCACTCAGACTGAGGGGAAATTTGTGTACAAGCTCCATATTTGCCCTGTAAAACCTATTGACCAAAACAAACCTATCTGCAATCCATCAATACATTTTATGCCACACAAATATATTTTTCAGTGTTATTTATTTTCATAGTAGACCTTGATTTACAGAACCATGGAATAGTTTGGGTTGGAAGACACCTTTGAAAGTCATCTAGTCCACCCCCCTACAGTAAGTATGGTTGTCTTCAACTTCTCTGGGAAGGTGAATTTTCATGGTGCAGCTCTGAAGGGAAGAGATACTCTCTGGTGTAAACCAGGTGCAAGATTAGAGAGGCCATCAGTTGCTGGCCCAAATTCATTTAACTATTCTGTTGCACATTCAGCACCACAATACCCATGGGGGCGTTTCAAGCACTGCAGATTTGCTGGAGAAGCTTTTTGTCTTTTCTCTAGACTTGAGAATGAGAACTACTTGAGGGAGAGAACAAGGTGTAGAAAATCCAGTCTGTCAGAGATCATGTAAATGCCTCAAAGAAGAGAGGTAACAGGGACTTTGTTGAGGACCAATGTGTGAGCAACGCTGCAGCCAGGTCCAGGTTCTACTGTTCTCACAAGTGTGTTTGTGAAAGAAAAGCAGCTTCAAGGGATAATTATAAGCAAAATTTAGATATATTATGTGGGGGGAGGGGTGTTTGAAAGCATCAGGAAAGAGTAGAAATTCACAAATTTTTGAAAGGTGTAAGAATCTCAGGAAGAGTGTTACTTCTGAAGTTCAGTGAACCACGGGATGGCACCACAATATTTTTCCCAGCAATGGACAAGTCTGAGGCAAACACCAGGTGAAAAGACCAGCTGTAAAACAGTTTTCTCCAGTTTGCAGGCTGGAAAGGAGACATGGCCATCTAAGAATGGATATTTACAAGGTACTTTAGCAGGAGCCACACAGCTCTGCAGACAGGCAGGCTCTACTGTACAGGTCTTGATAATTTAATACAAAAATGAAGAATTAGTTAAGGGTCCTAATGACAATTTCTATTTGTTTTTCACATAACCAAGGGCAGAGCTGACAGCTAACAGAGATACTATTTAATACACTATCAGCTCAAGAG